GCAAACTTTTAATTCGCAAATGTTTTTTTTGGCATATTATTGTTTAGCAAATTATTGTTTGGCAAAGTATGGTTTGCCAGTAATATAAAATTATATTATATATATCATAATAATTATGTAATATAAAATTTGTTCTACATTAATTTCCTTATTTCATTCTTTGTATCGAAATTTCCAAATGATTCAATAACAATAGAGGTGATTCTAGCGCTCGGCGGCCGCTGCCGCGGCACGCTTCGCTCGCCTTCGCGCATTAAGGGTCACTGTTCTAACCTAACCTACTATTTTCTGCAATACCTACTTTTTGCAACCATACTATTTTATGCAATGTTTACATAAAATTATTGTGAAAACCATGATCATGTGCCTTATGCTTTGATTTGTGGGTAACGGTGGGTAAGTATGTGAAATGTCAATTTGACCAAACAAATTATTTGGGATATAATATTTAGCAACATAAAACATTTGCTATATAAACATTTGCCAAGTAAAATTTGGCCAAATGATAATTTGAGCAAATGAATTAGTTGCGAAAAGTACAGTTGCTAAAAGTTCATTTGGGAAATGAAACTTTGGCGATAAGTTGTTTGCGAAGTGAAATTTGGCGAAAAGTAATTTGGCCAAACGGAAGGATATCCATTATCAGCAGCGCGACTATCGCGCGTTTGCCGCGCTGTTAAAGTCGCCTAAATGTAAAAGTGCTCTTATAACATTTTGATAAAATTATTTTGAATACTAAGTTGATGTAGCCCAGAAAACTGGCAAGACGTAGGACATACGAAGTTCCAAAGGGGAACTTTTCTGGACTGCTCGTAGCTAATTAAGTTCAGATGTAAGTTTTATGCAGGCTACTAGGGGCTCTCGCTGAAATTCTACGGAGGACACGTAAATGCCAAGTGAGGATTCATAAGTTGAATGAATAGAGATGCAGCTAAAGAAATATTTGTGAACTATATTACTTTGTATTTGAAATCCAAAACTAATTAATGAGTAAGTTTATCAAAGCGAACTGCTGTACAGACGAACCGCTTACATACTCGTACTGGATCTGGTGGTAAATCGCGAAGTTTGAGATAGATTTTAGTCTAGAATAGCATACCGGCTACTTTTGTGGAATTAATATTATAAATGCGAACTAACTCCGTGTCTGTCTGTTACCCATTCAGGCACACTTTGGTGTAGAAATAGTAGGAAGCGAGGTTTTCGCTCGCAGTGTTTCTGTGACCGAGCCATGCGGGCGAAGCCACGAGCAGAAGTTAGTACATATCCATATACTTAGTAAACCACCAAACAGCATGTTGGAAGGACCGCACGTTAAACGTAATCTTACGTCTTCAGATCATTAAAGGAAAATATTGAACGATGAGAACAATAGAACGAGTTTGTTCAATTTTATTTTCTAACAAGTTATGTTAATTGGGTCTTAAGAGCCCGTACTTTATTGTATTAATGATTTTTTGGATAAGTATTTTATGTAACGCTTACGTAAATGGTGTAAATAAATCAATTCCTCTACTCTATAGTAACGATAAATGTACTGGCCCTTGGCCCAGTTGTGCAATTAAGTAATTAAAATTATCACTGATAACGTACTGATATAGAACATCAACAAACCTTTAAGATAATTAAGATCATAGTAATAAGACGTCTATGCAGTATTTGTTCTTATTATCTCAATGCACACATTGCAGGAATAAAAATGATAAGTTTATTTTTCTAGCTTGTAATAATCATAGTGCTCTGATAATTTTATCATAATTCCAAGAAAATGTTCGCAATGAAAACTGATTTTTCTTGTCCTTGTTCATTATATTATACTTACTACTACCACACGTTGTTAAGGTAAATATTTTACATTTTGGGGGCGCAAAAGTTTCTTTAAACTTCTACGAACAATAATTGAGTGCTGAAACTGAAACGAACTCGTCGTTTAGTTCCAGTTTCGTAGAGCTGCAGTTTCACGATACGTTTGTGATACAATCACCACAGCCAAAAACTCATATGTATAACTATGTACAGTAAGCCATGACTAATTTTAGTTTCGTCTCTCAAAATAGCTACATATTTACGCCGAAGCGAAAATATTTGAATGGCGGCGCATCTAAGACTTTTGCTATATATTTAGTATTCAATATAGTATTCGTGTAATCTGAATAGTTGACTAACTATGGTAAATGTTGCGTCTTACGTAATAGTGCAAAATATACATTGAAGAATGGATACCGATACTGGTTTACACGAGCTTTATAACAATTATTATTTTGGTTTGCATTCGCATTGCATAATAATATGTAGTATGAACATTGAGAAAATATATTTGAGATACGAAGACCTAGTTTCCGGAGTTGGCCTTCGTACCTAATTAATGTAGTAAGATTAACAAATACATAATTTTGGGCCTATTCCTTGTTAGTGGAGATAACAATGTGTCCATTAATATGCAAAGTGAACGTTTCGAATATAAATATAATGATAATAGTGAGTAGGTAAATGTAAAACTAAACTCACCGTGAGCCATGATGTCACTCCACCTTCTCCCAACCTACAATGCTGAAGAACTGCCTTCCTCACACGTGGAAGCCTTTAAACTGTCCTAATTGTGTTAACGCATTATCTGTTTTCTTCTATCTAACTGAAGCGGATTTATATGAGCCATTTTGGACTTAATGTACCTAACAATACGATGTCAATAACGTTTTACTGCATTTGTGCTCTTGATAAGTTTATAGCGCAGCAAATGACACTATATACTTACACAACGATCGTGTTTACATGACGATCATCAACGTTAAGTACTCGTACCTAAGGTATATTTGAAAACAACTTTTGCTTTGGTAGGTACATCTTACATTTGATGGCAATAATAACGGCTTTCGTAAATTATTAAATCCTGTTTTTTTATTATGATCACGGTATTGATAACTACATCTATTGTCAATCAAAGGTAGTTCCAGCAAGATTTGATGCTGCATAGGATTCACAATATAAGGAATTGAAAAATATTAGTTTGTATAGCAGTTTCCATATTTATAATAATTATAGTATATTTATGAGATTGATGTTTCAATATTACCTATAAATAAATTACTGACAAAAATGTAAAATATTTTTTTTCCAAAGAATATCACTTTTCATCTGGACGGGTTCTGAAAGCTACTCCTTCTGAAGGATTATTTCAGATTCGCAACACCAAAGGGTTTCACTGTTGAATAGTCCGGTAATAAAATGAAACCTTACCGTAGTATAGGACTGTAACTACGAGATTATACCACGTTGGGATAGAATGTGGAAATCCTTGGGGAAGGCCTTTGTCCAGCAGTGGACGTCTTTCGGCTGAAACGAACGAACGAGACAGAATCTTCCTGGAAGAACAAAATTAAATGATGTAACATGATTGTTGATGATTCTTAATAGAATCAATAGAATCACTTCATTTCACTGTCTCGAGACAGGTAGAATCAAACCCTGAAATGGTCTGAAATGATTTTCCAAATTGATGGCGGCAAATTCAGTGTATAGGCAATTTTCTTTTACACAGGCAAGATGTATCTATCTATGTAATGGTGGCAAAAGAACAAGTGAATTACTTAAAACAATCATCGTCATCATCATCATTTCATCCACAGGACGTCTACTGCTGAACATAGGCCTCTCCTAATGTTTCCAGATTGGTATTGGTGGTAGCACCTGCAGTCCCGAAATTGTGTGTTTGTTAAAAGTTAAAAACAAAACAATTTAGATAATTAGATATACGTAAGTTAGGTCGTAACTAAATCTCACAAACATTATAAGGGAAATGCATCTAATATTAGAATGTTTTAGCTGAACGTGCATAGTGCACCTTCTAAGGGACAATCTCTATAAACTGATTACAGACTTCCGGTGCGGCCATCCTCAAAGGAATTTTATTATGAAATTGCTCCGAGCTGCCCTTCCTTTGGCTTCAAGGCGCTCGCTGGTAGTTGACATCAATCTTTCATTTCAGTAAAACTAGATCTTGCCATTTATGGACCTTCAGATATTTTCTTTCTGAAAGAGAACTACCTACCTATTTTGTAAAAATAAAATGATCAGAGAAACTTTGGTCGGGCTGTTGATCACAATGAACAGTAATATGGAAGTGCGCACATTACACTGATATGGTATCGACCCATTCCTCATATAAATTGGAAGCCGACCAAACTATCGGCCGATTTAGTCTATAGTCTACGGCATTGGTTCCCAAACTTATTAGTGACGCGCCCCCTTTCGACCATACAAAAAATTCCGCGCCCCCATCCTCCAGTCAAGATTATTTATTGGTCGTATCGAGCAGTCAGTCTCAGCGGTCGCAGGTTTTTTATACTTAAGTACAAAGATGGCCCGTGCACCCCTTTAAACGTCCATCCACAAGGTGGAGTGAACCGACGACATCATTAAAGGTATCAGGAAGGCGCTGGACGCAGGCGGTTACCAACCGGGCAAAATGGAAAGCATTGGGGGAGGCCTATGTTCAGCAGTGGACGTCCTATAGCTGAGATGATGATGATGATTTACAAAATAAAAAATAAATCACCCCCAGCGCCGCAGTCGGGAATGGTGCCCAAAAGGCTGGCAGCATTGCCATGTTGTATGGCCAGGCTTACTCTTTGACCGAAATAACTGCCAGCCTTTTGATCACCAGTGTCACCAGTCACCTCGGTACCTATAGTTCCAAAATACTGAACTGTCCTATGCATGACATTGACAGTGGGGCGCCACCGTCAATACCGGATCGCTGGTTCCGATTTTTGCCATGTTGGAAACCATATAGTTGAACGATGGTAGCGCCCCCCTGTCATTGAGTTTGGTGGGACAGTTCAGCGTGGGTTATCTATAAGCCTGTTTGCCAGTTTCTTAAAAAAGGAACGAGCTCTTGGACCCCATGGTCCCAAAAAAAATAAGCAACAATCAAAAGAGGTTTTAAAACCATGATCACTGACATTTTATGACACTATGACATATGAGTGAATGACATTTTTCGTTTTCGGGTATGATTTAGTCAGTTTTTGCTTTATTTATTTGGTGAACGTGTATTTTCGATTCTGGTGTTTTTATGTAGAGATTTGTGATGAAGGTAAGAGTATTCCTTTGATTGAAATAATTGCTTTTATTTACTTAGTCTATTTGTTTGTTTTAATTACGAATTAAGAGACACATTTTCGTTATCTCTATTGGTAACAGAATCCATTTAGTACAACGATTATCTGAAGCTAATTACGGGCTCAAAAACTGAACTCCGACAAACGTTACTTCGACATTACGTTACTCCGACACTACTGAATATCGACATGACTTTACTTCGACACTACACTGCTTAGACAAAGGCGAATATCCTTTGTCGGAGTAGTGTAGTGTCGAAGTAAAGTCATGTCGATATTCAGAAATGTCGGAGTAACGTAATGTCGAAGTAAAGTTTGTCGGAGTTTACTTAGGTAGCCAGTAATTCACGCTTAGATTATCACTACACAGTGTAAAACAAAGTCGCTTTTCGCTGTCTGTCCCTATGTACGCTTAGATCTTTAAAACTACGCAACGGATTTTGATGCGGGTTTTTAATAGGTAGAGTGATTCAAGAGAAATTATAAAAGGCTACTAAGGGCTACCTACTGTTTAATTCTAGATAATGTGTGACACGTTTTAAAGTGTATGGTAAATTGCTGAGTGGATGAATTAAACTCAATAAAATGGTCTTACTGAATGTCATTTATTCTTAAAATATATTATTGTGTACTTTCTGGAAGGTCATTGAAGGTGAACATGTTTGATAAGAAATGAAAACGTATTTACTTTCATTGAATGAGTCAAACAAAAATACACGTATCTATCGTCACGGTCCTCGAGTAAAGAAACCTACACATCAACGAAGATATCGTTGCGGGCTTAACTTTCCCCGGGCCGAACTTAACCTTCACTGGTTGGGTTTTTATTGGCGGTCAAACTGTAGATCCTGGCTACACAGGAGTTGCAGCGGTGGGAACGAGAGGTGGGAATAGTCCCGTATCCACGACGACAGATTTCCACGTGGACAAAGCAGTGAGCAGTAGCAGTATCCCAGAAATAGCTAGCCACACTCAGTAACCACCTAAAATTAATAGGTGACAAACAAAACATATGAATACCACAAAATATTTTGTGTGTGTTAACATACTGAACTTGCGATGTTCTGAAATGTAGTAAAGGGTTAACTCAAATAAAACCACAATAGTATTGTACTAAGACAAGACGTATTGATGTTGTTCAAAAATGCACTCTGTATTTTATTGAGACGGACTATGCTGATAGCCGTGAGCGGCTTTTTCAGCTTCAACGGACAATAGGTGAGCGCAGATGGCTCTCAACCTCAAAATTTAAGCAACGTGCACTTTGTAGTCACCCATATAATATTATGTATGGGCCAAAAAATTCTTCGCTTGCGCGTGTTAATAACGTACAGCGCCATCTGTTGGTGGCGTTTTGAACTTAAGGCCATGATTTCCCAAATTGTCGATATTTGACCGATTTTGTTTGCAGATAGTTTCTAAATGAAAAGATATTTTAGCAAACAAAAAATTGTAGGAGTAAGTTAATGTCTTTAACTAGGGCGACAACTTTTCCAAAACACGATATTGCATAGTTTGTCCGATAAAAAAAAATCCCAAAGAAGTACGTCGACGGCTTTTTTGTTTTACTCTCATATATTCATTTTTAACATTTTACACTTAAACTATATACTAGTAGATAGGACTTTGTATTTTCTAGGTCGACAACTTTTCAAAATTTTGTTATTGCGTCTTATTTAGTTACTATGTTGAAAAAATGTGGAAAAATCGGCCATGACGGCTTGGACAATCTCAATCAGTCGCGCGGTGGCGCTTACGGAGGACGGACGCGTGTCAGTTTTATTCCTGTGACAGTTCGCGATTTGTCAATATTTTTGACAAAATCGCCTCTGTCTGGCGGGTGGCGAGTCACAGTATAATAATATCAGTATTACTGGAGAAAGCTAAGAATTTTCAATCATGCATGATACATAGTACATTTTCCAAATATCAGATAAAACCAATGAGTTAAAATTAATTTATTTATGGGAAATTATGAGTCAAGCCGCAGATATAATAATATTTTAGGCTGTTTTTATACAGAAATAAATTAGTTTATTATTATTATTTTTCCACGGTATCTAACCTTTGATTTTAAAACTAAGCCACGGGAATATTAAGAGGCTTCTAAAGTTCTAATATACTAATTCGCCTTCTTTTAAATGCCACCTAACTATTCCAAAGAAAGCGTCAAATAAAGAACAATATTTATATTATGACTTGTCCTCCTGATTTATATGTTACGGTAAATGTGATAAAAATTATGAATAATTACCGGTTATTATGAAATAATTATGATTTGGTAAATGTGATTAATATGAGATCATTTATACATATATGTATCGGGTTTACCAGTTTTAGCCGGACATGTTTGGCTTTTTACGGTCTTGTCTGGCCAAATATTGTCTTGTCCAGCCTGTCTGGCTTTTGTTAGGCTTTTTATGCGAAAGAAAGCCGAGCTACGGAATAATATCAAGCGCTGGGCAACCGATGATGATAGTACTTCGTGAGCTATGACACTAATTTTAAAGTAAAATGTCCGGCTAAATGAAGCACAAAGTCCGGCTTTTGTGTTTTTGGACCTGGCAACCCTATGTATGTACATAGTCTGTTAAAAAATAACGGGAATTTTCGTTTTTTCAGAAAAGTATTTATTTATTGATCTACATTAGTATTTAAACTTTTAAAATAGTCGATATTATACATTATACACGTGTGTTAGCGCTTCTTCCAATTCTCAAAATACTTCTCAAAGTCGATCTTTGAGATAGCCTTTACATCGATCGGCGACGCGTGTTTAATGTCACTTATGTCTGTAAAACGATGACCCTTTAAAGTTATTTTTATTCACGGAAATAGAAACTAGTCATACACAGCCATTTCCGGTAAATTTGGAGACTGGAACATTATTACAGTTTTGTTTTAGCAAAAATTCGCCGCCACTTTCGCTCAAAATTCAGCAATTTTCGAACAAATTAATTTTTCATACCGACAAAAATCCAAAAAATTAGCCTATTAATTTAACACATGTACGACTGTACTCAGTGTTGCACTATCAAATGCAATTGAAGCGCCTCTATGCCAGGGTTTTTATGTTCCTGGTCAGGCTATACTTACTATTTTGTCGGTAAAATGTATTTGTTTGACTTAATATTATCATCTTTATTTGACATTATTGATTGACAAACATTTGTGTGCATGAACATTATAATAATGTTTGTTTCGGGCTGGGTGTTTTCTAACCATAATATGAATGTATTTATTTATGTTATGTTATTTAAGTATGTTCATATCCCATAGTACAAGCTTTGCTTAGTTTGAGACTAGAGGCGCAGTGTTAAAATATTATGTCGAAGGATATTTAATTTTATTATTTATTTATTCACTATTTGAAGGTTACGGTTTAATCCAACTTACGGCTTGTTTTTACACTGTGGCGTCATCGCGTCGCGCGAGTGTCAGCGCGAGTGTCAGTGCGAGGTGTGCGGGGGCTGAGGTAAACGAATGCACGGCATCGAGGCGGTAAATCCTAGCCTTAATAAATAAACACTCTTAAACAGTGCGAATAAACTAATATTCGCGTGAAAAAAGTAATGCGACTACTTTTTAGCCTTCAGTATGTCGGAGGGCTGGTTTAAAAACCATTTGCATCAGCGGCCAAATAGCTGCTGCCAGTTAATCCGCTTATGCCGGCTTAAATCGACCTTTTCCCTATTTTCATCACTTCCTGCCTGCGCGCAGACATGTTTTTGAAATTGCGGACGAAAGTCTAAGCCGTAAATATTAATTATTAGTGATTGTGTGCTATCCGTGTTTTTTATTAAGAAATCAGGTCCTTATAATTAGAATATTTAATTTATATGAACTAATTAGTGATTTTAATGTGAAACTTATTATATTTATTAGCAGCTACAACAAAATAGACATTTTTCGTTTTCTTACCGTTTGAGCTAGGGCCATACCATATCCCAACAAGCATGTGGCGCCTTTTCAAGTTTGTACTCGTAGTTAGGTATAGCAACACTATCCAATCTAAACAATAATATAATTCTCGTAGGCTTACAAGCTGTCAAACTGTAACCAAAAAATGTAAGTAGCTAAACATTAAATTGTTATTATGTTAGTAATATTATGATTAATTTATCAAAGATGATGGCCGTTCTTCAATGTGTATTATGTGTATTCTAACTTTCAATTACGCACCACATTTATCTGTCAACTGTTTGTGATTGAGAGCATATTTTTTATCACCACTCATGTTCTTTGATTAACTACATGTCTGAAAAAGTAGACAAAGCTGTTAATTAATTTTGCGAATATGAGCACATTTTTAAGCTAACTAAGGGTATCACGGTGTCCAGTTAAATTGATGGAGGCCACCTTGCCTGAAATCACGAAATTTTATAAATATTTTGACTTTGACGCATTACTATGTATCTACAACACACTAATACATAATTATGTCTTCGTCGGCCGTTTGGTGTAGTGCTTCGAAATGGACTACTATGCCGAGAGGTCGCGGGTTCGATTCCCGCTCAGTACAAACATTTGTGTGCATGAACGTATTTGTTTGTATGTATTTACAAAAAAAAATTAAGTAGGTAGTAGCTTTTGCCCGCGACTTCACCTGCGTGAAATTTAGTTTGTCACAGATCGTCATAAATTATAGCCTATATGTTATTCTGGGTTATAAAGAATAATACTGTAAAGTTTCATCAAAATCCGTTCAGTAGTTTTTGCGTGAAAGAGTAACAAACATCCATCCAGACATCCTAACTTTCGCATTTATAATATTAGTAGGAAGTACCTAGGATGTTTATATCCGTTGTCTTGTACCTATCTACATATAGTACAAGCTTTGCTTAGTTTGGTACTAGAGGCGTAGTGTAAAAATGTCCAAGGATATTTATTTATTTATGTACCTACTTACTACAACAGTGAGCTATGTAATATGTTGCAGGCTCTGTTGGTTCAGGGAGCTTATAAAGTAAAGCTCATGCTCGGAATGCACTCTAGGAAATGCCTAGAGCCTTCCGTTTCTGCTTGATAGAGCATATAGAGGGGAGTAGGCGGGCTTATGCTAACGTGGTTTTTTCACAAACAGCGAAGTGCTTGCTGGGCTACCAAGAGTATTGGTTAAAATTGAAAGGATTAATTATGTTAACTAACAACTTCTCAAAGGATTTGTTCTTGATATGGAGAAAAATATACAGATTAAACTTTAAATATTATTATAATAAAGGAGTATTTAAAATTTTAAACTAATCTGCGTCATATTAAAATGTTTTACAATCGATGATTTAAATTTTTTTTTGTACGGACTGTAATGATAGCGCCGAAGATTCTCAACTTCAAAAAATGTGTTCAGTAATAATCTATAGGACTAACGAATAACTCTGCCAGTGCCTGAGGAATGGGAGCGGCAAGAGAGGGTGTTTTTGTTGATGTCAAACGTCAGCAAGACTTCAGTTTTGTATGCTTTGTCATAATATGTAGATGCCACCCCTCCTGTGCCGCTCTCATACCTCTGGAACTGACTGAGTTAAACGCTAGATATAGTTCCAAAATACTGGACTGTCCTGTCGATGACATTGACAGTGGGGCGCCACCGTCAATACCGGATCGCTGGTTCAGATTTTTGCCATGTTGGAAACCATATAGTTGAACGATGGTAGCGCCCCCCTGTCATTGAGTTTGGTGGGACAGTTCAGCGTGGGTCATCTATACAGTGTGTTTGGGATAGGGCTATCAATAATTTTAAGCAATGTTAATGTGATGTCAATTTTATCGACAAAAATGCCCCCATAATATTTTATGTGGGCCCATGGGCTTATGACCGCAGTCTGTGGAGGAACACTATCTGTGGTCGCGATCCTCATCAGTGACCGAGGAAGAAGGATGTGACTCTACACAAAAATTGTTTGTATTTCTTATGTGCCCATCTAACAGATAAATAAATAAATGCATTTGTAAGCCAATAATATGTAGGTATCATTAAATAAAAATGAAAAATAATGACAAAAAAAAAACTTAAAAAAAAGTAAATGAATTTTAGATTTTGTCAAAAAATTTGTTTTGACGAGCACATAAGAAATAAATAATATTTTTGTGTAGAGTTACATAAAAAAAAATTAAGCCCCCCCCCATTCCAAGAGAAGGGGGTAGGCCCACATATGGGGGCATTTTTGTCGATAAAATTGACATAATAACATCGCCTTATAGTATTATCGCTAGCCCTATTCAAAACACACTGTATGGTTTATTTCTTTTCTAGTCAGTGAAACTACCCAAAACACGCGTGGGTACTCGAGTCGAGCAATCTCCGAGGAGCATCTCTTCAGTGGACCAGACCATCAGCTCTCCAGATATACCTTCTGACAAGCAAGTCCTGAAGAGGGGCCGAGCCAACGAACTGATAGGCAAGTCGCCAAGAGACGGCCATTCCATTTCAGAGACGCATCTTGTGAGTATTCATATAATTTAATTAGAGTCTTAAGAAAAAAATGTGATTTAGCTATAGCACTATAAGAACGTTCATTCTTGGCCGCCTAAGGTCTCCCGCGCACTAGACAACCTGGCTGCGGGAGCCAATATAATTATAACAGTGTATGGAAGCTAGGGTTTCTGATTTCTTGACTTATTTTTTTTCTCGAGTTTCGGGAATTCTCGAGGCCAAAGTCTCGAGTTTTCTCGGGTCTCAAGTCTTTTAATCAAAACTATTGAAATCGGTTAAAATTTAATAAAAAACACGGGTTTTTGAAATCGGTTAAAATTTAATAAAAAACACGGGTTTTTATTAATGTTATAATGTGTCTGGGTTATAATCAATGATACTGTAAAGTTTCAACAAAATCCGTTCAGTAGTTTTTGCGTGAAAGAGTAACAAACATCCAGACATCCACACAAACTTTCGCATTTATAATATTAGTAGGATAATTATAACTTAGTAATTAACTAAAGGAACAAAAGTCAAAAAGTCGCGTGTAGTTTAAGGATTAATAACCATAAATATCTGGAGCTCCAATGGGGATGTTGCCTGGGTCAAAAAGGAAAGTTTTAATTAGTCCGTCAGTTAACTTATCAAAAAATACTTTACACGTATTTTTCACTTTTTCAAACTAATGAAAATTTAAAGAGATATAGCGCCCCAAAGTTCATAAGAAGAGGCCCGTGACGTCACCGCATGCTTAAAAATGCCGCACGTTGTGACGTCGTGCGCAACTTCAACGCACCATAACTATGTAATTATTTGTTAGATTGACAAATAACATTATATGTGTCCAATATTTTTTGATATTAAACATTACGGACTAAAAAAATTTTTTTAGGCAACTAGCCTATTGAATCACTTGTTTTCCAAAGAACACAAGTCCAAATTAATTGAAAAATTACGATAATAAACCTGCATTTACAAACAAAAAAAACATTTAAACTTGAATAATAAACGTATTTACGAGTAGGTACCTAAACTAACAGATATTAATAAAAAAAATCAGTCTTTAAATCAGTCAGTTATACAAACTTATTAAAATATAGCATACTCGTAGGTGATCATTATTAGTTTCGGTTAAGATCATTACTTGCAAATCAAATTAGTTAAAAAAAGGAAAGACTAGGCCAGTCTAAACGCACCGTTAACCTATTTAATAATTAAACACTTACTTTTGTCTAAGAAAATAGGCTTTCAAGAATATTAAAGCTTCAAAATCGAAACTCGAGAATTCTCGAGCTCCGGTAATTTTTTTCTCGTTTCGAATGAAGCCAAATTTCTCGAGTTTTCTCGAGTTCGAGAAAGCTCGAGCAGAAACCCTAATGGAAGCCCGCGCACTAGGCAGCCAAGCGTGTTCATATACCGGATTGGCTGCTGCCACACCCAGGCTGCGGCTGTCTGACTGCCTAGTGCGCGGGACCGCTAAAGATCAAAGGAATTTTGTATGAAGTAGACAACTTTTTGTCAGCATGAAATATCTCTTCTCTTAATAGGCAATATTAATAACAATTATAGACACACTACTCGTATATTGCCCATGCGGCTCCGTGTTTCCAATTTTACCCTATGTCAACATAAAGTAGGTCGGAACCATTGCATTTAACTGCCTTGGTGAAATTAGTTTGGCTATCGCTACTTCAGCCGCTTAACCTCTAGATAAGCCACAATCTATAGCACAGAAATAAAAGCTTAAGAGTAGGCGCACACCGTTGATTTTTAGTTGGCCGATAGTTGTGCCCGATTTTAATTTGTATGAAGAATCGGCCAAATCGAATCGGTGTAGTGTGCCCACTCCCATACATGCCCATACTAACTGCCCGACTAAACTATCGGCGGACGAAAAATCAACGGTGTGCGCCTACTCTAAAGGTTACCCGTATGTTCAAAGCCAAAATAATTCTTAGAAAACAGTTAAGCACATTTTACGCAATTTCACTTTGTTATTAGAATTCTTTTTATTCTTACTTGTTCTAAATTAATAATTCAGGCAACATTCCGATTTCAAGGAATTTCGTGTAAAAGAAATGTATCAACCTATTAGTAAATGTACATCTTCTGTAGACGTTACTTTGTTGAGTTCCGCCTTTATTTTTAAACAGGGGTCTCACTTAGGGCGCCTGCTCATGAGCGATTTATCGGCGGAGCAAGCGTCGTCGGCATCGCAGTGTGTGCTATGACATCCTTGAGGTATTTTCGCACCTACCTACATTCCACTACGTGCACCCTGTGTGTAGGTACTCCACGAAATTGCTGAGAAGTAAGACGCTGCGCAAGTGGGCAGTGCACAGCAGTGCACACAGCAGTGCACAGTCGCTGCGTGCATGTTGCGATTTGGCCCCCCTCGTGAAATCGCTCGTGTGAACGCGCCTTTAAAGATGCGAAATAGAGTTTGTTTTGCAAAGTTCTTCATAACGCCTTCTCATATTTTAACGATGTATTTATTCGCTAATCCCTGTTAGGCGGATTTTGATGGAATATTTCATCAGGTGAGGGTATTAAGTATCTTTTTTTTTCTTTGTAATTTTGCTAATGACGATGGAGTTGTTTTTAGTATCTGACTCAAGATAAATATTATAATCCGATTACTTTAATGAACCTTTTTGTAGATTGCGGGGTTAAGCACTCTTATCATTATAATCTAATAGGGACTATTTTCTTATTAGGGACCATAATAAATGTAGACAAATAATTAATACTTTTCTTAATAAACGAAATTTCGCGTTATTTTCTGAACTTACCTCGTATGATCTTAAGGTATACCAAAAACATATTCTTAAAAGCCGTAGGCAAATAAAAGTCAACTATACAGTCATGGACTTAATTCTTTAACTATAATGTAGGTATAGTAGCAGAACAGTTCCTGCTGAGTGTTTCCCAATGTACCTACTTACACAGAAAACACAATGAATGATTATCTTATCTTATTTACCCTTTTTTCTTTTAGCCTGTGCAACAAAATGGACCCGAGCTCAAACAGTTGTTTGTAGACAAAAGATCCACAGGGGACGACAGGCCTTCCATCAGTGGCAGTTCCGAAGACATGAACCGACAATCGGCGAGCCCCGTCAAGGAGGGGCTGAGGAGATGCGCCAAGATGGCTGGTCAGCACCATGACCAAGAGAGAGGCCATGCCAGCAGAAAGCAGGAAGCCGGCAAATGTTGTGGCCGCACTTATGGGCCCAAAGTAAGCTGATTTGATATATAGAAATGTTTTGTCACTAACTTCATTTATTAAAATATTCAAGCCGATCAATCTAGACGATAGACAGAAAATATCCTGTAGGATAGACGGTATTTTTTAATACTTTAAAAATAGACGGGACATTGTTCCTATGCTGTTATTTTGATGAAATGGCTTAATGAACAAATCTAAATGAATGCAAAGATAATAATATTCATTTGTAAATTCTTTTACTATCTGTACGAGTAACGGTCGTATTGCGACGATTTTTATTCTAGTCTTGTAATGTTTGCACCTTATTCGCGACGTCATTCTTCAGCAGGAAACCTCTGGGAAAAGAAATTGTAAATCAAAATTATGTCTTATTCCCCGTACCCACAAATTGCTATCTTTTCTAGAGCTTTTCTCAGAAAAATATGTAATAAAATAAAATATTTATTTTCTCCCATTCCAGAAATCCCGGTCATGTAAGTAAATTTGTGGTTTCCGATTACACGTTGCATCCAAACGTAGTAGTAGTTTGGACTTTGTAGTTTCATCTTGTGGACGTTTTCTTTGTTTTGAATTAAATTGTCCTTTGTTTGAGATAATATTTTGTAAACCCTTTGATACACCGGGGGCATGGACATTCGGGTATTTCTCAAATCGGTCCAGTATTTTCGAAGCCTATTCATTTCAAACAAACAAATAGACAATCAATCTTTCATCTTTATAATATTAGTGAAGAATCTACACTGTAGATTCGAAACTTCAATTCGTCTCACACAGATTTTTTATCCCATTTGAGTTTGATTCGATTGAATTTTCCACGGAATTGCAATTAATATTTTGTTCTTGATGTTTAGCTTTTAAAAACCTTGCACTTCATAAGACAAACTTCTCGACTCGAGTGACGTCACTCATGACGCACTATGCCCACCGGTGTGCCTAAGGCTTTACCTGTACATTGTTGGTATCGTTTGTTCAAAGAGCGCCCACATGTATTAATAATTCCTTCGCCTTTGACTAGCCCGACTATATTGTTTCACTTCGCAGTAGCTTGAGTTGATGTTAATTACAACGAAATTATTCTATGGAAGCTGACGTTGGTGCACGGACAGGACTTTCATATTAATACCAGTCAAATGGTCCCTTTTGACAAATTTTAATTAATCTGTGCGGTACAACGTAGATGGGTTTTGGTGAGCACCCATTGTGCGGTGGCGCTCGCACAAGTTTGGCCAGTAGATGTAATTATGTTTTGGTCTCTACCTAGAGTCTTGCATTTTCCTTGTATCCTATAACTACTAGATTTCCCGTATTGTTTTATGTAAGTAGAAAAATCGTTTCTGTTTGGTAGAAAATGAAAAACATTGGCATACTTAGTTTTGTAATCTTAGTTTAAAGTTGCATACAGGAGCTACCTCATTTTGTTAGCTTAACTCTCAAAGGATTAACTTGAGTTTTGTTTAACTGAGTAACTTGAAGTAATATTATAAATAGGTAGATATGCCGCCGGCAGAGAGTGTAGCAATTTGCTTAATAAAAGCTGAACTTAGCTATTGATATTAGATTAAAATAGCGCCAGCCATTCCGAATTATAATAATCCATAGAGGTATTATGTATGTGTTATGAACTTGTCATTATCAAATTAAATTAACATTATTGTCATAATTTACGATACAACAATCTCCTCGCCACACCATTGCGTTTAGGTAGATACTCGTAGGTGTATTTTTATTATTCACTCAAGAAAAAAGAAGAGAATAATAGAATACCTACTGTAACATAAAAAAAATAAGGATTTATTACTTCAAGAAGCATGAATTACATAACAAATTAAAAATTAAAAGAGCCCCGACACAAAAAATAAACTCTAAAAACTAACAAATAATATTTTAAACCCATAATGTCGCGTCAGGGTACCGCTTATGTAAGTCAGACCCTTTATTCAGATTTTTCAGTCGTTTCGTCAGGGGTTAAAAACATGGTTTATAAAGTCAATAAAATTGCACTGGTTACTTTATTTAATTTTCACCCTAGGTTCTCCTCTCGGCCTGGATATAGACGACCCGTTGACGAGGCAAATCCGGGATATCCACAACGACACCAGGAAGAGTGCTCGTATTATCCGGGACTCTCGGGCGAGGTTGCTGGAGATACAAAAGGTACTTTTCATTTTGTCACGTTCCCATGATAGACTAAGCTTCCAAGCTTAAATAAGATCCATCAGAAGAGTTTTTAAAATACACTCGCGAGCAAAAGTATGGAATCACTTACATGAAGTTGTTTCCACGCGATCTTGTGTACTAACGAATTTGTTAGGAACAAAAAAAGTGGCACCATTTTAAAGATTAAACTTTTATCTTTAAATTGATACCAAATTCATTTAAATCACACCAGTATTTAAAAAGATATCCCGGCTGATGTGAAGAAGTAACGAAAAAGACATGTATGAACTGTTTGATACGTCGCGAGTTGCGGCCTATTTACCCCCTATAAAAGCACGCGTTTTCGGATTTTTGCTTTCACACGTTGATTCATACACATCTCCGCTTCTTTTGACACTTTACCTGGGATTTTACACCTTCAGAAGCAGCACAAATCGTTGCACTATTGCAAGAAGGGCTCAGCCAGCGGGCTGTCGCACGTCAGCGCCACATAAGCCAGTCCTGGGTTTCGAAAGTTTTAAGACGCTTTCGGGAGACTGGTGGCTTTATCCCGAGACCAAGTTCTGAACAGCGCCGGCGCACATCGCAGAGGGAAGACCGTTTTTTCATGTCAACCTCTCTATGAAATCGTCATTTGACTGGAATCGATGTCCATCAAGAGCTCAGAAATGTTCGTAAGATAGCTGTTAGCGAGTGGACAGTTCGTCTAAGATATAAGCAATAGAATTTGACTCCAAAAAGGCCTGCCACAGGCTCGAAACTGACGGCAGGTCACCGATAAGCACGCTTTCAATTTGCTCGTACACATCTCGATGTTAAGTCGAGCAAGCCACCCCCATAAGCCACTGTTTCAGCGAACCAGCACTGCACAAATCGCTCCTCAGGCCGCCTATAAACCCGACCTCTTCGACTGCTGCCCTGCAAACACAGTTTGCATTCATCGGAGAACAGAACTCGCCTCCATTACTCGCCTTCCAATCGAGATGTGTACGAGCAAATTGAAAGGGTGCTTATCGGTGACCTGCCGTCAGTTTCGAGCCTGTGGCAGGCCTTTTTGGAGTTAAATTCTATTGCTTATGTCTTAGACAAACTGTCTACTCGCTAACAGCTATCCTACGAACATTTCTGAGCTCTTACTGGATGTCGATTCCAGTCAAATGACGATTTCATAGAGAGGTTGACATGAAAAAACGGTCTTCCCTCTGCGATATGCGCCGGCGCTGTTCAGAACTTGGTCTCGGGATAAAGCCACCAGTCTCCCGAAAGCGTCTTAAAACTTTCGAAACCCAGGACTGGCTTATGTGGCGCTGACGTGCGACAGCCCGCTGGCTGAGCCCTTCTTGCAATAGTGCAACGATTTGTGCTGCTTCTGAAAGTGTAGAATCCCAGGTAAAGTGTCAAAAGAAGCGGAGATGTGTATGAATCAACGTGTGAAAGCAAAAATCCGAAAACGCGTGCTTTTATAGGGGGTAAATAGGCCGCAACTCACGACGTATCAAACAGTTCATACATGTCTTTTTCGTTACTTCTTCACATCAGCCGGGATATCTTTTTAAATACTGGTGTGATTTAAATGAATTTGGTATCAATTTAAAGATAAAAGTTTAATCTTTAAAATGGTGCCACTTTTTTTGTTACTAACAAATTCGTTAGTACACAAGTTCGCGTGGAAACAACTTCATGTAAGTGATTCCATAGTTTTGCTCGCGAGTGTATTTCTTAACACATCTATCTCTGCTGCACATAGGCCTACCCCAATGATTTTCTATATTTAACTTTGTGAACATTTTTCCAGAAAACCACCCTTACCGAAGCAGACGTGAAAGAGCTCGGGGAACGCAACGAGCTGCTCCTCAGAGAGATGGACAGGTTCGACCGCCTCACGAGGAACGTGCAGAAGATGGTCGGGAGCGAGGTGGCTGCCTTCAAGAAGCCAAGAGAGGAGCGCCGGCAGGAGTACATACCAGGGAGCATGTATGGTAAGGCAGTTTTTCCTTTTTACTACGAGGAAGCTCTTGGCGTGCAACAGTCGAGAATTCCTAATCAGGCTGAAGGTGAAGCCAGCTACACCCAGAATTCTCAACCACTGAGGAACAGCTGGCTGTCCTACCTTCAACTGCCGGAACACAACAATGATGTTAAGATTGTTGTTATAGCGACAGATTTAGGTAAGATGGTGTTAGCTAGCTAGGTGGACTTAGAACCACCCTAAACCAGGGAGCATGTATGGTAAGAAGAGGTTTTGTTTTAATTTATAACGAGGAAGCTATTGGCCTGAAGAATGGAAGAAGGCCGTTTGTAGACATCCGTTTTTTCACCGGACAACGGACCATCAAAAAACGGATTTCCTTTGTTTGCTGTCAGTTTTCTCGCCGGACCTATGTCCGATGTATGTACAGTACACACGTTCATTATAAACCAAAATCCGAAGAAAAAATCGGGCCGCAGTCCGTCAAAAAACGGATGTTTAACGAAGGTGAAATGGCTGTCTTATTACCTCACTGTCGAAACACAAAAATGCTGTTAAAGTAAAGATTGTTTTAGGTCTAGTCATCAACGTGTCTCATGAACGTGTTGATCTGTTAGAGCCGACGATCAATTACACTGTAAAACCAGCCTAAGCGTTTTTTTTTCTACATTATAATAAACATAAGATCACTGTTGGATCCATCGGTCCTATAAAAAAGTTACCCGATCGTCAGCTGTTTTGTGCATAAAACATTGGGATGCGTATTAAAAAAAAAACAATTTAGAATCGATTAATTAAATCGCGTCATCCGCTTAATTCAATCATACAATAATTTTTCTGTATGAAAAGTTGTTTCGTTACTTCAAATATAATTAAAAATAATTTCCATGGAGGACGGATACCAATTAGCGTACCTGCACATCACCCTCTCTCAGAGGCAACTTTCTTTATCTATACCTACAAAAATTTTAATGAAACACTTATTTTTCATATCTTAAAACTACGAATGCTTAAAATTGCAAAATTTCGCCAAGACTTTCATCGGCCCATTAGCTCAGTTGGTTAGAGCGTCGTGCTAATAACGCGAAGGTCGCGGGTTCGATCCCCTCATGGGCCAATCTTTTTTTATGGCAGCAGGGAAACCTATAAACATAAAAAAATATGATTAAAATTTAAATAAGTTTCAGATTCCTATATTTTTGTATGGTCCACTACATACCTACGCATTCTTATTATGTATCTGTCGGTGTTAGGTAAATGGGTATATGAGCCGACACTAGCCCATGTTAACATATGCATGTAAATGGTATGGTGAAGTCAGAAAATTGATATCATAATTTTAATTATTTCAATCTTCTTCATACAAATCTGATTTTATAAATTTTATATTGTATGAACATTTAAAAAATTAAAATGATGATCTCAAATTTCTGTCTTCACCATACCATTTATATGCAGTGTCGGCTCATATACCCATTTACCTAACACCCTGTATCCCAACTAATATTATAAATGCGAAAGTAACTCTGTCTGTCTGTCTGTCTGTCTGTCTGTCTGTCTGTCTGTTACGCTTTCCCGCTTAAACCTCGCAACCGATTTTGATGAAATTTGGCATAGAGATAGTTTGAGTCCCGGGAAAGAACATAGGATAGTTTTTATCCCGGTTTTTGAAACAGGGACGCGCGCGATAAAGTTTTTCTGTGACAGACAAAATTCCACGCGGGCGAAGCCGCGGGCGGAAAGCTAGTATTATCATAAATATCGGATATTTTCGAACCCTGAATTGGAGATTACTTAAATTATAATAACTCGTAAATATTTGATAATGTCACTGCGTTGTCTTATAATAATATTAAAACATTTTCATATTCCATTTTATGTCACCTGAATAATCTACTGAAAATATTTGTTTATCAATAACGAACGTTGTCACAAGCTGGATGAAAACCGCAAAATACATTACATTGGTAAATATTATGGCAGTAGTGGGTAAATAGATATTTTGATTTTGCATTTACAGTGTTAAATTGCGTGTTTGAAAGTTCGTTAATATTTTATAACACTAGGGGCTCGTACGAGTTTCATGAGAATTGTTACGGCTTCATATAGTGTTATAGCTGTCGTATTTCCTTAAGTTGGTTTACTTTAACTTGTTAAGTTAGGAGTTTAGCTAATTCCTGACCGATTCAACTTGGAATTGTATACAAAGGGAAGCATTGAGATCTTGCTTTAGCCGTATTTCCTGAGAGACCCGTCCTTTACACTCCGTTTGCGAGATGCGAACGGAAATTCAAGCAAAGCATTCAAAGCTAGTATGCTTGGAAGTCAGGTGCATCCATTCCAATTTCCAATATTCGTGCCAGTTACCTCATCCATCTATAATGTTTTCACGCCTGAATGAATTTTGGAATAAGTAGAGGTAATTATGAGCGCTTTAAAAGCTATTTTGATATAGCAAAAATAAATAATATTATGGGCTGTTTAATAGGGGATGGAAGTTTGTATAGGGAACCCGTTATTCTCATTTAAAAGGTTTGGAACGTATATTTATCCGGTGAAAGTGTGTGCTGCAAAGACTTTCTCTTTGATAGATCGAAATCAACGCGGGATACGAGGAGCTTGTCAAAGATAAAAGCTTTTGAATGAATTTTTCCTTACAAATTACTTCTTTCGTAAACACAAAAAGTGGTGCTCTACCACTTGCACAACGGCTTAATGTAATCAAGTAGCGAGCACTCCATGAGCTTTCTGTTTCTTCTTTTAGATTCCCACAACACTACCACGAGATGAAAATGAACCACCCTTTATTTTCAACCTGCTCGAGATGATCGGCGAGCATCCGTTTCATGAGAATAATTTAACTCTTTCTCTTACAGAACCACCTCTCTACCACGAGATGAAAATGAACCACCCCACCGTGCTCCTAGCCGGAGGACGCTCCTCCGAGCCTCCTGGAGTCGTGGTCTGCGACCCTCCCGTCCGAAGCAAATCCGTACGTCCCATATCCTGTACCAAACGCAAATAACAAATTCAAAATTGTCAGCATAAAAATTGAAAAATATACACTTGTAACGGAAAACGTGTTTTCTTTAAGGAAATTGACCTGACGAGGAGGCTGAGTGAAAGCTACGATATGCAGGAGAAGTTGGTGGCAGATAACGCTGACTTGGAGGTCAAGAGGTTAACTACTCCTTTTCTTAAATACCTGCGTACTTCATTCATTTTGATTGTAGGTAAACTAATTTTTTAAAGTCAAAAACGCTATAAGTAAAATAATAAATTAGCCCTTATTTTCCCCGCTCTCTGAATTTTATTTCCGAAAAGAGGTTTGATTTAATTTTGAGCGCATTACTGGCAGTCGTTGACAGCCGCTGATTTCAAACATCGAAGACATTTTCAATAATATGTCAATCACATTCGGAACAAAACCCAAACTCGCCACGCACTTTGTGCGTCCGTAGAAAAGAAATACAATAAAAAATATGTTTTTGTAAGGAACAGGAAGAAAAATGATGGATAAACCAAGGTTAGTGCATGTTTTGTGTTTCTTTTTAGGTATATTTTGTACAAGGAATTGATGACCAAAGACCAGAACTTGGAGACTTGTAGAGCTCAAATTAAGAGACTCCAGGGTGAACTGAAGATGATGAGTAAAGAAAACGCGGTGCTACATGAAAAGTTGAGCAGAAATAGCCCTGAGGTACCGTAAACTGGTTGGTCATGCGAGTAGTTAAATTCACCGAAAGTAACCGGATTTATTAAGTTCAATTGCATAAAATCCCTTAAGTTTACAATGCGGTACAGAATCTGTGTCAATTAATTGTGATCACGGTAAAAACCACTTCGTTGATTCGTTATTTTTTTATGTGAAAGTTAATTGGTATTGTCAGTTATTAATTAATTTCACAATATGAGCGTAGGGTGCGCTTGTGGCGACTAAGGTATTCTCTGAATGAGAAATGCATTTTCATTTTGCTTGCTGTCGTTTTTGTGGTTGACAAAAGCCTTTTATTACTGATATAGAGTATTATAACTTGCTTGTACTTTAACTTTTGGCCCTCAATTAATGCTGTATAGAAGATTGATTGATAACTTATTTATATTTTTAGGGCGATGCGACTGCGATGAATCAAGAGACAATCAGCCAAAAAGAAAGCGAAGTTTGTGCTCAGGTTGGAAAATAATTATTGTTTTTTTTGTGGTTTTACTGTTTATCTAGCTTATTAGATATTATAAAGGGTTTGGTACTATATTTGTTTTAGCTGGAGAAAAACTTGGAAGCTGAAGAACTTATCGTTAAATTGGAGAAATATAAAACCTCAACCGTCGAACTTGTAAGTCATGCATAATATTTTTATTATGATTTGAATTTCTGTATTAGTAGCTTAAAATAAATAGAAGCATATTTAATGTTGGATTGATTCTAAGTAAGAGGATCAAAAAATGTGGATCAATTCGATCTAAGAGCGCCTTCACGTTGCAAGTTGTGCGGCAGCAGCGCGGCAGTCGCATGACTGCAGGCAGAGTATGAAATTACGAGCCGCGCGACAGTCGCGTTGCTAAAGTTGCCTAAATGTGAAGGCACTTTAAGGTTACAACTGTCGTATTATATGTCGCAGGAGAAGCATCTCGGGGAATTGGAAGTGGAAGTTCGGCACATCCGAGTCGAGATGGACACCGTGAAGGGCGCGGGCGGCGCCTGTCGCGGGGGCGGCGGCGCTAACACTTGCTTCGAACAGCCGGTAACTTTAAATTATTCATTAAAAGACTCTAAAAATAGCTCAAATTTTAACCCAAGCGATAGCGCACACTGGGCGACAAATCGCGGCGACAGACGCGGCGACTAAACGCCGCGACTTGTCAATTTCATTTAACAGCTTGTCGGGCCTCTCTCGATAAAAAAAATAATTTTAATTTTATAATTTAATTTTAATTTTAATTTATATAATTTAATTATAATTTAAACCTTTACCCATATTGATGAACCTACAATACATACTCATTCTCACGTTAAGGCGATCATCCCAATACATATCCGTACCAAACCAACCACCCTCTATTCCCCTATAATTGTTCTACATACTTACTATCCTAAGGACATTTTAATTCAAATTTTTATTTAAGCTATCGTTTCCGTTGCGTTTCTCGTCTCGTAGTTGGCATGTGGATTTCCTATTGGACTTGATTCTTTATTGATTTTTATCCACCAACCATATCTTTTCATTCCTGATCCTGCCCGTTCCCGTCACTACACAGGGTCTACTTTAGCATTTCAATTTCCGCCGTGCATTGATCTCAGCGCGGCGACAGCGGTTGCTGTCATATTACCGCAGCTAGACAGCGCTGCATACTAAGGCTAAGAACTCACCGGGATAATGCTGCGAATACCCGCTTTTATGTAGATTTCAAATAACATTTAAAAGTAAGAAGATGCCATAGCTGCGGAAAACTGCCTCTAAGAGGAAGATTGCGATATTAATATGACGTGGAAACTCCGGCTAAATTAAATTAAATGACTCATAAGTTCTATTTATGCTTTACAAAATTCGCCACATAATTCTTACTTGCTTTATGAATCTACCATGTCCTTCGGCATGGTTGAAGTTTCTAATAGCACCTATAAAAGCACACTGAGTTGTGAAAACCTAGACTTTAAAACGGATGTAATGTAAATATTGATTTAAGTCGGTTAATTAGATACTCAATATTTTGTTTTAGGCTGGAGGACCTCCCGTACCGCCTATGTCCCGAGCTGTGAGTACCCTTCTTATAAAAAAGAATTTGCCTTTTCTTAGTAGCTAAAATGTTCTAGCTTTTTATTTTACATCTTTGAACTACTGTCATTGTTATGGAATGTGAACATTTTAAAGTTAGTTGATGTTGTGTCCTGTGTGTCCAAAAACAGGGCGAAAAGTAATTTCAAAAGGAAAAACTCATTCAAAAGATAGTTCATGTGAAAAATATACACGTTTCAGCAATTAAATGCCATATCAGCAACACATTTTAAATTATCAGTCCTTTTGAAATGTATTTTACATTCATACATAATGAATGCACATGTATGGATCGTTATTCTTAATGAAGTTTTCGAGTGGTTTCACTGGAATCGCATTACATTTTTCGTTTATTTTTGCCCGAAAGGGGATACGTTTTATTTCAAGAACGAAAGTAATTAATGGTAAATTAAATCAAACATTACTTCGGATGCGGAATGGAGTTCCTTTTAACAAGAAACTCGGGGAAAGGTTCGGGATAATTCTCGATAATTACAGTTTGTTATACGAGGCAGTGTTGTCACGCGACGACCATTGTGGGCCCGAAGGAACCAAGAAACCTGATATTCCTCCCACAGTGTTCCATTATTCTTTGTTATCACGGCGGAGTACCACAATGAGCTGTCACTCCACACCTTTGGCCTTTAAGATCATAGACTGAATAGATGTTTACTGTAACATTCAAACATTATCAAAATCGAATGGAAAACACACCCATTTAAGGTATTTGAATCAATGAACAATATTTCGAATTGATAGAGAAAAGGGTAAAATGTTCCTCATACCAGAGCATTCGAGTTAAATACAGACAAAAAAAGACGCAGATAAAGTAGACGCAATCAAAACCAGACAAAATTGGATATTGCGATGTTATTTTTGACAGTAATACGAAACGCCCTTAGTCGTTTGATGAACATATCCCTTTGAGTCTAGATCCTATGGAGAGTTGAAAAAGCGGGTTGTTTGCTTTTGCGTTGTACACCCAAGAGAAATATTGGGGTTTCTGTTTACAATATTTCCGCGATCTCGGAGCTCCGTTTCATTTGAGAGCGTAAAGTTTTTACAAGGTTGTTTTTTTTCCAGTGCGGCGTTTGCCCCCCCTGTCCTGCACCATGCAATCCAAATGCCCCGCCGGTAATAATAATAATTTTATATCTCCGTTTACTATACCTTTGTGAACAGCAATGAAATACAATAATGTCGTTTAATTCAAATCTTCAGACTCCAGCTGAGAGAGAAGTTCAAAGGCTTACAATACAACTAAGACAAACGGAAGAAAACTTCAAGACTAAAGTCACTGAGGTAAGAATTACAAATTAAGATATTCCTTTCAGTGTAAGTTTCTTTTCACTAGAGACTTTCTGAATAATGAAATACTGTATAATGGTTTACCTGCTCCACTATTTTCTCAAATTTACCAAAATCTTAGTGCTATGATAATCTGAGTATTATAAATATAAAGTAATTTTTGTTAAAAATACGAAAAAATGTTACGGTTCGTGGTTTTAAAAATAAATGTTGAAATATTTTCCTCTGTAAATTCATGTTACCAATAGATTTAAAATTAATTGAGCAGATTTCATATTTTAAATCTATATAGGTATATTCTACATTTTCGTTGATTATACACATTGAGGAGGTAAAGAGTTATTGACTGGGATACGATTTTTCACTAATATTTCAACAGTGTGCGATGCTTCGAGCCGAACTGCTAAAGAAGAAGGAAGAACTAGAGAAAGAAAGATGTCAACATCGAGAGGTCCAGAACAAACTTCGCGAGCTCGAGATGAAGTTCGAAGGGCTGGCGACTCACACCAACATGTTGATGGGGACGAAGGAGCAAGCCTTCGAGCAGGAGGTCAACGTGAGAGCCTTGAAGCAGTGCTACAGAGAAGCGAGGGAGGAGATCGACGAGCTAAGGATGCTGATGAAGGAGCAAAACGATCAGTTGCAGGACTACAGGGTCAAAGTAAGTATTCTGTCCAATACTATCCATAAATCACAAGCGATATCTCTCATACACGCCATATTAATAACATCTGATATTGCTTATATTATTATGGAGCAAATATGAGACAGTATTTAAAAACTTATATTACACAGCTGACATTCTACACAACTTGGTAGACAATTTAATATTGTTTCCGGGAGGAATAGTTATAAGTATTTCTATTCTGTTCTAGTACTTACAAGCTCAGCAACTCGTTGAGGAGCAGCGACGCCAAATGGACATGATGGACATGGACAATACGAGAATAAGCGAACAAATCAATCTTGAGATACAACGGGTTAAGGTTAGCATCTTTTTACTGACGCGCTATTATAAACATAAGACAGTAGGTACCAGACTTTGTGTAATGGCGTTTCATCAAACTTTATTGTATACAAGAAACGTTCCTCTCTGCAGATAAAGTTCCAAGAGAAGCTTCAAGAGTTAGCTCCCATCCCGGACCTGCTGAAAGCAACACAGATGAGGTTGAAGGATGCGCAACAAGCGCAGGCGATCGCTGAGCACAACGCTGAACAGCTGGCCAGGGAGCTGAACTGTGCCAGGGAAAAGGTAGGAACAATCTTGATGAGACGGACATTGATTCTTTTACTTTCGTTCCTAACGTTACGAGACTCTGAATATGCCTCTGTAACAAACGCGTGCAGCCTGTGTGGGCGATTGTGATGGCGATCACTGCGTTTACGTCTGATCGGCATCGTCATCATGCACGCGGGCTGCATGCGTTGCTTGGCCGAACCTTTAGGGATGGTAGGAAAACTGTATGAGGCTCCTACCCCAGGCTTGCTGAAGGCAGCACCCTGCTTGAAAAGTTTATGACAAAATAATTTACGATAAGCAAAGCGCTAAGTGTCGGTATCATAATGTCACAGGCCGATGAAGGTCCGTGAAAGCAAATCACGTGTAATCTTTAGGTTGGCGACAGAATGTTGGTATTTGATGTTCGTAGCTACATGGAATTATTTATCGGAGCTTTCTAAGAACTGAAGTCTAAGCTATACACGCGCAGAATGTTTTTCATGTGACTAAATATGCTCATGGCTTCGCACTAAAGCAGTTGACAGGTGAACACCTGATTGGCGAACACAATGGAGGTAGAATAACGGCGCCACATAGAATTAATTACTCAGAACACCACAAAATTTAAATAAACAGGATTTTCTAAACATTTTACATATAAAAAAAACCGGCCAAGTGCGAGTCGGACTCGCGCACCGAGGGTTCCGTACAAACCTGCAAGGTTTACAAAGTTCGTTCATTACGACAATCGAGTCATAACTATGGTATTTTTATTGAAAAAGGAAATTCATAACATTACAATGGGGAAAGATGGAGGAGCATAAACTTAAGACAAAGATCTCTTTATCGTTTAAGTAATCCTTTATTTTGTAGTATTTGATATGAATTTCAACTTGATAGCTCTACGCGTTCATGAGGAAAAAAGTAATAAGTTTATATTTATTAAAAAATATATATTTTGTAATGTAACTAAAAATTTAAGGTTTTCGGAATTTTTCCTTTATGTGTGCTATAAAACGTTGCTTCATGCCAAATTTCAAGATTCTAGGTCGACTGGAAGTACCCTTTAGGTTTTGATTCCCTTGCGAGTACTTGCGAGTTTCAAAATATGCAGCTTAAATTGCTGTTTCTTTTGATTGCGTTGACATAGAAGTTTGATTTTGTTACAGCTTAAAGGTATTATAGACCTGAGTATTTGGTATGAATTTCAATTTAATACCTCTACGCGTTTATGAGGAAATGGGTAGTAAGTTTAAAATTATTAAAAAAATATATATTATGTGATGTAACTAAAAATTTATGGTTTTCGTAATTTTTCCTTTATCTATGCTATAAGACGTTGCTTCGTACCAAATTTCAAGATTCTGAGTTCACGGGAAGCACCCTGTAGGTTTTGATTCCCTTGCAAGTGTCGAAAATTTGCGGCATAAACGGCTGTATCTTTTGATTGCGTTGGCTTAGAAGTTTGATTTTTTCACAGCTTCAAGGGACAGTAGACCTGAGTAATTGATATAAATTTCAGCTTCATACCTCCACGCGTTCCTGAGAAAAAGGGTCTTGACAGACGGACGGACAGACGGACAACAAAGTGATCCTATAAGGGTTCCGTTTTTTCCTTTTGAGGTACGGAACCCTAAAAATGGTAATATTTTTGTATTTTTAAACTAAAATGTTTATCGCTTTTTCCCTTAGGTGCACGTACTGCTACACAATAGCTTGAAAGGTCCAGAAAAGCCACCGGAGAAGGGCGCAGATGAAAAACAGATGGCGCTGTTGCAACAGAGAATCGCTCAACTCACTGAAAACAACATGGCGCTCAAGAGCGAAATTGAGAGACTGAAGTAAGTTTATAAATAATTTCAGATTTAATAATATTTAGAATTATACTTTTAAAGTAACAAATATTGCTTTAACTTTCATGTAATATTCTGTAGAAAGAATTACGCCTAATAGAATTGCATAGTAAATTTTTAATAAGTCCTAAAATGTCTTCAAACGTTGTCACCACGCTCATACGCCCCCGTGGTCTCCCGGGGATTATAAAAGCGCGTAATATTTTCGTTATTTGATTAATCTTTGCTCAGCACCCAACCTGTTAGCACACTAGAACCTTCTGAGAAACTTGCTGTTGAATTTCAGGCAAGTAATTTGTAGATATTTCATCAATACTGTATTAATTTCGTCTTGTTATTGTGTTGGCATTATCATTTTCCTTGATCCAGTAGTTAGTAAATCGGTCTCTATCGACTCGGAGGTTCCGGAATTAATGCCCGGTTAGGAAAATAACAAATCAGTTTAGAATGTTCTCAGTTTGGTTAGGAAATTGCAGGCATAATAACTAAAACCACATAAAATAATATTAAATGACAGATCATAGCGTCGGTTAAAAGTTGACTGGTGTGTCAACTGCCCTCTCTGTCTCTGCAATTGGGATAATTCTTAGTTCTTGTCAAGATACTACAGTTATTTTTTTCCAGGATCAACGTCATAAGGATGGAGGAGTCTGTGCTGGCCAACGAGAAGCGTCTGCAGGAGAAGATGCATGAGTGCGCTCAGCTTGGAGGCGAGCTGGACCGCGCTAGGGATGAGGCCGCGCGTGCCTTGCAGCGGTCCAACGAGCGTACCGACACCATTCGCAAGTAAGTGACGTACTCTATTCGTTCGTTTCAGCCAAATGACGTTCCCTGCTGGAAGGATATCCACAACGTTCTCTGTTCAAAAATTTAAATATAAATACATGGTTCTAGCAGGCTAGGATACTACACTAAGAGCTGGTGAACGCCAGACCTACGTCATTTTATTAAAGCTGAAAATTTGTCAGCGTATGCTCCCAATATATCATGAAGTTTGGGTCTTCGTGGCTTTGGCAGCTATCCTAAAAAACTGTCTGGCAAGGAGTTGGAACTGTCAAAACTGTCTGGCTGATGAGAAAACTATTTGTAATTATTGCCCTAATATTTTATATAAAAATCAGCTTTTATGGTATAACGTAGCCTAACTTTTACGATGGCTTTTTCTGTACATTAAATAGACTGTAATTCTACTTACGTTAAACCATAAAATCTGATTTTTATGTATAATATTTGGACAATGATTATAAGTTGTTTCCACGTCAGCCAGATAGTTTTGACAGTTCCAACTCCTTGCCAGACAGACCCAAACTTCATGATTCACCAACATTCTATCCTATATTGGGAGCATACGCTGACAAACTTTCAGCTTTTAAAGAATGACGTAGGTCTGGCGTTCATTAGCTCTTAGTCTTTAAGACTTGCCTTTCCGTGGATGTCGTAAGAGGCGAGGAAAATTTTCCCAAGATCAGGCCACTCCAGCCCGTCTGGTCAGCGACGGGAGTGTAGACATAGACAGTCTTCCATTTTCCTCCGGTAAATTAAGAGAGTTCTCCTCTTGCAGTGGAGACTAATTATACTGACGATGATGATGGTAATACGACACCATAACCTTTTTTCTTAACTCAAGCCCACACGATTTTGAAACATCATACTGAACATCGATGAAGTGATTGTACACATTTTGGGGAGAAGCTAAAATATGCAAATGGGTTAAAGTGTTAAATGGGCTAAAGTCAATATCATGAATTAAATTAAAAAAGTATCCGAGGAAAATATATTATTGGCTTGGTTTGAGTAGGTCGATAATTTTCTGTTTATTTTTAAAGGAACTGATAGAATTAATAAATTGAAAATTGATTTACATTTTAGTAACTTACCTGTTACTACACTCAACATCAAATAAATCGCACCTTCCGCGACGCGAACTTTAAAGATTTTCTTCTGACACAATCATGGTGCCCAACAATATTGGTGTTATTTGAAAGCCCAATAAATAAACTTAAGAGCGTTGTCACATTTTTCATGCAGAAATCGAGAATTTGGCAGATTTCGAAATGATTTTAGTCATATAATTTATTGTTATAGCTTCTTTTGAATTATATCATCGTAATTATCATACGTTTTTACGGAATGTCTATTGACAAAATCTCGTTCAAATTGGATTTTTGCCTACGAAAACAGCGAATTTTGAAAGCCCGATTTCCAGATAACTCGCGAAGGCACAACTTTGAACTAATATTACAACAAATTTATTTCTAAGTAAGAAGATAGAATGTATTCATTAGAATAAGCATACCCTGAAGAAGAAAGTGTATTGAGAAAATTTTGATGTTTAATTCATTAAAATGCATTTTTATCATGTCTAAGATAGTCAAAATTCGAGAAAATTACTGCAAGAAAACAGGTCACATCTCATAATCTAAAAGTCATTTGGCAACATAAACTACTTTATACTTAAGAAGAAACATAGTACTATTATTGTGTGAAAAAGAAAAAATATCTATCTTCAATCTTCAAATGAAAAATTAATTTGAAAATACTATAAAATCGGGTGCATCAAATGGCATAAATCAGTCGTGCTTTGGCACTCGTAGACGCCGGGTCTATGTCAGTTGACTGCCCACTGACGTATATGCGTCACGCGTGATTTTTTCGTAAATTGTAGTATGATTGAGTACTTTTGATCCGCAAGTATTTTTAATTTATTTGTTTAGGTAAATCGGACTTGTAATTTCTTTCTTTTCAAACTTTTTATTATTTTACTTACAGAATATGGGTAGAATAGATAAAAGATATTATTATGGTATCTGTTTGGTCAGGAAAAAATAAATGACTAATAAAAATTTTAACAGGGTGTCAAAACATTAGTCTATGCTATTGTGTTTCTACCAACATAAAATATACTCTTCCTTACTAATAAAAGTTGAATAGCGTCTGTATGGTCACACAACGCTTCGTCATGTTTTTCCGAAAGTTCAATTACTGACGACTGAATGAAAGAAATTGGTGCGTAACTATTCATCTGATATTAAACGTTTAGTAATAAAGGGGTAGGTCAGGTAAATGGCAAATCCACCAGCGGTCGCTCGATGACACTTAGACAAATAGTTTTATAAAACGTCAACTAAGTTGGTTAGGTATTTGTATTGTAGATACTTATACAAATGAACGTATAAAATGAGTTTATTTTTAAAAGTATAGGTACAGGGTGGAAACGATAAGTGATTTCACTTGATTTTTAATTATACAAGATATCGAGAAACTGTTTACTGTTCCTGTAAGTGCTTCATGAGCTCTTTAAAACAATAACAATAAATAGGTCAAAGAATAAACTGGATCTATGCGAAAATTCAATGTTTCCGAATTTCATACTAAATGTATGCCGCCAGCCATACCTACCATATTAGAAGTGTTAATTTTTTAAATTTAAATTTTTAATTGAGTAATATATAATAATCAAACAACAAACTCGTAAATTGCATTCTTATTTAAATTATTTACGGAAAACATGATTTTAGGTTTAACTTGCTACAATATCATCAAGATATACTAATTAACAAATCTATATATATAAAAATGAAACCCGTTTCGCGTTGTCACGGCATCACGTGTGAACGGCTGAACCGATTTCGATCATTCTTTTTTTTAAATGTTTGTGGAAGTCCAAGGATGGTTCTTACGGAAAAAAATATTAAGAAAATCTCTACGCTAAGGCGGTACGAAGTTCGCCGGGTCAGCTAGTACTAAATAAACAGATAAAGGGGACGGCATTAAGGCACTCAGAATTCTCAGAAACCATTGATTTCGTGTTTGTTTGCAACTGTATTAAATGTATGAAAGCTGGAAATATAGGTTTTTTGAATAGATTCAGTTCGTTCTTAAACATATTATTGATGCCGTCTGCTAGGTCTCATGAAGCACTTTTTCAGTAAGTAACCATTTGTTCGACATCTTGTATACCTAGTACCTACTATAAGAAATATTCGAGTGAGATCACTTATCGATTATTTTCGTCATCCTTATTTGTATTAAATTTAATTAAAATACACTAAGGCTGAAATGCACCACCTAACTTTGACCCTAACTGACAATAACCGATGTTTTATGTTAGACAGATTTTTGACATCCAAAATTTTGATGTCAATGTTAAAGTAAGNTTTGCACACTCACTACGCGACGTCAAGCAATAAAAACCTAAAATTCGAACGTCAACTTTTTGCTACAACGCTCTTAAAGAAAAACACATTTAATTTTTTTTATAAACAATTAACAGGTAGGTACCTTAAATGTGACTTGAAAAAAGGCCTCATTTGGGGCTCACTCTGGGACCAAGTAGACGAATTTTTGTGGTTATAAAACCAAATAATGATCTTACGTGTCCTTTCTGACAGGTGGATAGCGATTAATCCCAATTTAACAGTTTTGTAGCCATAAAAGTTGGCTCAAGCGTAACTAGGCTTATTTTTTGAAGAAGTGACTCTGGATCCTACTAAAGACACATTTTTGGGGTAAAAACCTTTCCTTTGAAATTAATGATCGTTAGAACTAGGCTTTCAAATGGTGCCAATGTCGGTGGGAAGTGGGGATGCATACGTTTAGTAAGTGCTTGTCGCGGGAGGTGCGATTTATTTGATACCGAGTGTAGTAACAAATATTCAAAATTGTATTGAGTAATAGGCTCTACCTGTAATCAATTTGGAAACTTTTAAAGAAATTATAACTGATTAATGATTTTTTTCAATTTTATTTAGTTCTCATTTCGATGGTTTGCAAAGAAAAAACTTTTTGCATTGGGAGTACCATAGAAGGTAAAGTTTGATAAGTGAGAATAGCTAGCTATGCGCACCGTGTGTCTAAATGTATGAAAACTTAAGCCGGGTCCAGACGGGTAATGGGTAATGTAAGATTATGTGTAATGTAACACGGATTCTACGTGTGGACGGCATTATGAGCATTACATGTAAAGGCGGGTCCAGACATGTATCATTTGCCCGATCCGATCACCGTATCCGTATCGTCGACGCGTCATCATGACCGCATATGTGGACGGGTTATTACCCGTCCACAAATGATACATGTCTGGACCCGCCTTAAAGTGCTATCCATACTATTTCCATTACATTACACGGTTGATTACATTACGCGTTACACTCGTCTGGATCCGGCTTTAAATGCTGTGCTTGATTTTACATTAGGTATTCTCTGTATTTCTGGTTGTATAATGGACTAGTCATTTGGCAGTCGATATTAGTGTGGCTCGCAATCGCTTCGTGGCGAATGATTAAAATCGAACCCTACCTATAAATTGGTCTGAAGCTTCCATTTACATTGCGGGCGAGCGCGAAGGCGCTTTATTTTTTTATTTAAAACATTATTAACTTTTCTTATCAGGGGTACGTTAGGGCAAAGTGACACTGATTATTTTTATTCACACAACTGTGAATGTAACCTGTTTTGAGACAAATAAATACTTTCTATCTATCTATCTAACTGACGGTCGGCCGTTTCTCGGTCCCAGGTTCGATTCTCGGCCGGGCAGAAATTGAAATGATGAATTTTCATTTCTGTGACGGGTCTGAGTGATACTTTTAAGTGAATATCTATTGTCTATGCATTTGCCCTTAACACTACGTCTTACCAAAGGAGACATTCTATCCTGCTAATTCCAGCTAATGCGAAATTTATGGATGTGAACATGTTTGTTACTCTCACGCAAAAACTACTGAACGGATTTTGATGAAACGTATTATTAGTGGTAGGTACAAATACTAGCTCCTTGGTTCGCCCGCGCTCGCTCCGGCACTGAATGTAACTAACTCATCTCGCGGCTTACTCGGCGCATTGTTGAGCCGTCCGACAAAAGCCGGTCGATGCTGTAGCATCCGTGTGCGCATCGTTACCGTCGCTGATTGTTAGTAGACTAGTACCTGAGCGTCAATTAGTTGTCGAATGCCGAGTACACGTGCTCGTATAATCGCTTGCATATTGCCCGATTATATTGTTGGGTTCAGTGTTCTGTAACTACCTGCGATCATACTACTGCCTACATGTTTTGAAGTACTGGCTTCTTCAGATTGTAAAATAAAATTGTGTAGGTAGTCTTTATGAATTATATGTAGGTATCTGGGAATATGCCTTTGTGCCACAAAAAAAAAGTTTTTTTGCTTCTTTCTTTAACCCATATATGCCCAGAGGCACTTTCTTGCGATGCCTATAAAAGAAACTGTAAATATGCGAAATTACATAAAAATCTGAGATTTAAATAGTTTTGGGCATATATGGGTAAGGGGGCAGTTTTTGCACTCTAGAATGGCTAGCAATGTGCTGATGCTTATGTAAAATTGTAACAATATATCTGAGAACTATACGGAACTTTATTGACCTGGGTTTTCTTCTACAGGTGTATGCAGACTTCTATTGCCGAGTTGGAGAGGCAGCTGGCCGCGTCCAGGGCTCAAGTGAGGACTGCTGAGAAGGATCGTGAAGAAGTAAGTATTCAATCGAGTGTAGAGAAGCCAGTTTGTTCTATTTGTATAGGTACGCAGTATCCCACACAGAATATCTCACCACACCTCTTTTTGCAGCTGCAATGCCGCATGCAGTGCCAGATTCAGCGTCTGAACGAGAACTTCGAGCAGGCTCAGCTGCGTATCCTGGGGCTGCAGACCCAGGTCCAGACTCTTCGCAGGACCGCGTCCAGCAACGGCGACGGTGAAGGTGATGGAGACCAACAGGAATGCGCGTGCAAGACCTTCTTCGAAAACCCCTAAACGACCTCGACCAGAGAACGCCACGAAGAACCACGATATAACTATGTAACCGTTTTATCCTTTGTTGCGACTTATTTTTACTGACGGTCAACTAAAGCGGTGGTATATCTGTTGTGAGGGCTACTTCCAATGGCTTGGCCGCTTTGCGAGTAGTATGTATGAATGGTGATTTCATTACTTTTTTTGTTACTACCGATCGAGGATATCGAAATTAACTACGATTTAAATATCGGAAACGGCCCTCGATAGTTGCAATCGGTAGTCAAGCGTGTGTGGATATTGTACGATAAATTTCTCCAATAATTTTGTTAACCTAGCCTGAGAATAAGCATTAACCACAGTGATTGACTAGATAACGATTGTATAAACAGCTGTAACATTATTCATCGCCTTTTGCAGTATTAGATCTTGAACTGGATTCGTATTCACGGTATCCACTAGACAGTTAATAATAATCGATACTTTATTAAAGTTTTGCTCGTTAAACAGTCTATCAGGCACCAAAGCATCGATACTATTTGAGTTTAACGATAGTTCTGCATCTTCATAATGATTGCGAGTACCGTAATATCTTGGGCGGAGCGCGATTTTAGTTTATGAATTTTTCACAGTTTTAAAAGTGTAAACGAAGACTTGTGATTGCTTTTTGTTAACCAATAGGTGTTCATTATTTCCACATCCGCACTCAATGAAAACCTGGTGGTGAATTATCAGAACTCTTCGCTTTCTGGGATTTTTCTTAAAGCAATTGGCACTATTGAAAAGGCTATGAGAGTGGTTGAGAAGTTAGAAAATAATCAGCGGTCGTTGCCTGCTGGGTGTTGGAGGTGCGCCCTCGATGCTTTCAATCTTATCAATTTCAAATTGCTAACTCAAACCTTATTTTAACATCAATTTTTTATTACCGACCTATAGAGCTCCAGAATGGACGAGTGATCGATCTGTATGAATCCTTTTTATTTTTTATTTCATATTTATTTTTTCAAATTATATTTTTTTGTTGGTTGATACAGAGCGATGGAGATTGTCCATATTTCACAATGCAAAGCGATTTGTGCTTGGTGCGATTGGAAGCAATTTTATGCCAGAATAGTCTAGAGTAGATATTGTACTATTGTTTGCTTTAGTGGACTATGTAGCGACTTGTTTGAAGCGTGTATTGTAGTTAATTTAGGTTCGCTCTATCGATACTCAAAGATTTTTGTCGATGCACTTTATCCACTTATTCTAGCGTATCATACCACCGGAGTGGCATCGCCTGTTGTTGTACCACTGCTATTTTCTAGTCTATTTTATCTCTTTGACTATGTGTGTAAGGTATTTAATATTGCCCGTTCTTAACAAAATTATAAACACAATATAATCGCTTAAAATAGCATTGAAAACTGTTTTTTATTTCAACCACATCACATTATTTTAACAAAGTCATAACAACATAACATTGACTGACATAATAACAAAAGAACGCTAAAACTACATACAGCAAAATTCAATGTATGCAACGTATATTTTTTTTTAATTTAAATTAAAAACTTTAGGATAAATCGACAAGCTGTGTGACAAAAAATATCAAGGAGTGTGTTTATCTCATTCCGCAATCATCACCATGTAATTTTATTCCCAAATTCAGAGTCAGGGTGCCAAAAGAGTGTCTATTAAAATTCTCACGCAATTTTGCAAACACAATTTACACATACATTGAAACCGCATAAATACAAAAACGCAGACACGAAGTCATTTCGCAGTCTTGTCTTTTTCCTCGATAGAATTATTGTCCCGTACCACGTGAACGTTTCCATAGCTCGCGAAGCAAGATCTGAGAGCTTCTTGAGCGATATGCGTGTCGCGATGGGGCGGGTGAGCAATTTCGTGGTACTGGTCGACGGCTTCGCACAGCGTTGTAATGGCGTCTTCAATACGTTCAGCATCCATTAGCTTCGCCCCTTCCTAAAAATGCGAGATAAAAATCACGTTAGGCGTTTCGACAGGAAGTAATTTGCTTGGAGGGTTTCTTAGTTTGTACAAGAATAAGTTAGAATACACTTCTATTTTACACCAACCACGGTGCACACAACCTGTTCGCGCCGCACGCGCCACTTATCGCATTTAATTAATCTACTATATAAAAATAAGTCGGGTTTTCCACCCTGACGCTATAACTCCAGAACGCACGAACCGATGAGTGCATTACCGCAGCAAAATTTTTATAAATGTTGTGCTTTAGAGAGTCGAGAGTATAGCAGATAATTAGTCCATCGTGAGCAGAAATTTGTCCACTAATAGCAAAATTCGTTCAAATTATAGTTTTAAAGTTATTAGGAAAAAACAGATTTTGCTGGGGTAATGTTTGAAACATTACCCCAGCAAAATTTTTTTTTCTAAAGTCGTTCTCTCCCGGAACCAAATACATGGATAGATAGCTTTTGTTGCGTAGTAATTTGTCCACGAATAGCAAAATTTGTTCGTGTTCCGGTTCTCAAGTTNCTGCTCACGATGGACTAATTATTTGCTATACTCTCGACTCTCTAAAGCACAACATTTATAAAAATTTTGCTGCGGTAATGCACTCCGAACCGATTTCCACGGTTTTGCATTCGTTGGAAAGGTCTCGGGCTCCGTGAGGTTTATAGCAAAGAAAATTCGGGAAAAGGGGGTAAAACAGGATCCACGCGTACGAAGTGGCGGGCGGCCGCTAGTTTTGTATGAAATATACTGGTCATCACAAAAATCGGCCCACCTACGTTTTACAGGAAAACTCGTTTCTACTGACACAATCATGGTGCCCCAACAAAATTGGTGTTATTTGAAAGCTCAATAAATATCCTCAAAGAAAAACACACATTTAATCCTAATTAACATACCTATACAATAAATGTGACTTAAAAAAGACGTAGGGTAAACCACCCAATCATTGGCACCCTACCAATTTATTGGCATGCTTCAGTTTTTTAAGAAAATTAAGGTTTTTTGTAGCCAAACCTTATATTTTTTAGTAGAAATTGTACAGTAATATCATTTATTACTCAACTGGCTACACAAGTTATTTATTTTTTCAAACATCGCGGCGCATCAACCATTTGTTTGACAAACCGGGACCTGTGCGAAAAAAACAATCGAAATATTCGTTTTTTACTAAGGTAAGAGCTATGATAATCTTTCAAAAAAATGCAAATCTATTTTGTTTTCCCTATACATAATCATTTTGTCTTATTATTGAATATATTAACTGCCTTTATAAAACATTATTTTATAATTTAACCGCCAACTTTTAATATTTGTGGTGTGCCAACATTTGGTATGCGTAAAATCTGTTTATCCATTTTATTGGCACACATGCCAATAAAAGGGTATTTCAAATAATTTGAGTTTATTAAAAATTATACCTTGTTTGAATCAAAATTGAGTTTAAATTGCATTTAAAATATTTTTTAACGTTTTGGATACACCAAGCCAAATGTTGGCCCACTGCCAATTATATCAAATCCATTTATTGGCACGGGTGTCAAACATTGGTTAAAAAGGTGCCAATAAAAAATATTATCTTTTCAGCCACTTTCAAAGCCTTTCAAAGTCTTATTCCACTAATCCCCGTTGACAATCCCCGTCAACGGGGATAAGTGAACTTTTTGTTCATTAATCCCCGTTAACGCCAATGGAGTTTATGATGGGGATTAATAAGAACTAAAAAGTTAATTAATCCCCATTACGTTAAAAATAAAATACTCAGGTAAGAATCAGGTACCTTCTATTTATTACTGGATAAGAACTCACTTATTATTTTTATTATCAAATTAAATTAAATTTAAGACTGATTACAATCCTTAAAAAAATTAACACTTACCTGATTAACCAAAAGCACTATGGATATTGAATCGCTATTCCCCATTCATCATTTAAAAGAAGACGGAAACGATTAGGTACATACAAATTTGGGCCAAGATGTAACAAGATAAAAATGGTGTAAATTAATAGCTTTGTAATCAGGCTTAAATTTAATTTAATTTGATTATAAAAATAATCAATAAGTGAGTTCTTCTCCAATAATAAATAGAAGGTACATGATTCTTACATTAGTATTTTATTTTTTAACGTAGTGTTCTGAATAAAGAAAAATTAAATAATTTAAAAAGTTCATTAATCCCCATTATAAGCTCCATTGGCGTTAGCGGGGATTAATGAATAAAAAGTTCACTAATCCCCGGGATTAGTGGAATAAGCATTTGAAAGGCTTTGAAAGTGGTACCACGGTCTACTATACAATTCAGATTGAAACATCCTGATCATCGCTCTAAGCCCGGTCTATTCACAATTTTAACTGACGAGGAAAAACAGCTTTTTGTTGACTGGATAAAATAAAAATCAGTAGCAAAAAAGTATTTCCGAAGAAGATTTGATATAAGTGTTTATGGAAAGTTTAAAACCATATTTAAATATAAGCGTTTGAACTGATATGGTATGTTCCTATACAAATAAATGTTACTTTTCTTATAACAAAGGATTTTATTTTGTTTATTTCTATCATGAATCTCTTTAAAACCTCTACATAAGACCTAGCAGCTATTTTTCAGTCTTGCGAGAACAGTGCCAATAATAGGTAATTATCACTGCCAATAAAAGGTTTGGCTATGCCAACAACTGGTATTTTGAGGTATTTTTTTAAAAGGTACACTATATTGAATAAATGATTTAATTTATTAATGATAAGTACTTTATAATATTCTGCAAAGATTAAAAGACCAATATAAATGTTTTTTTCTTTGATAAAACATATTTTTACATGCAAATTTTACCGGTTTTGTGAAGTAGCTGCTTAAAGTGCCAATAATTGGGTGGTTTACCCTATAAAGAATTTTTATGGTTATAAAACTAAATAATGATCTCACGTGTCCTCTTTAACAGATGGATAGCGATTAATCCCAACTTAACAGTTTTATAGCCATAAAAGTTGGCTCAAGCATAACTACATATTTTTTGAAGAAGTGACTCTGGATTCTTCTACAGACACATTTTTGGGGTAAAAAACTTTCCTTTAATGAAATGAAGTTTAGAACTAGGCTTTTAAATGGTGCCAATATTGGTGGGAAGTGGGGATGCATACGTTTGAAAGTGCTTGTCGCGGGAGGGTCGATTTTTGTGATGACCAGTGTAGTTTATAGAATATGGCGCACCTATCCGCGCCGCATTTTTCTGAAAGCGTTTGATGCGTGCGGCGAGTGATAAATGCGATGACTGCGGCGCGTGCGGCGCTTCTCCCATTGCTATTGTTTCACCAAAAACTGATGGTTTAGGTCAAAACACATCACCTCACTTCCATCCTTCCACTATGTTTTTTTAAAACGACTACATACAACTTGCCACACTTTAGCATCCGAGGGAACTCAAGAAAAATCTAATGCAGAAGTAATAAAATATTCGTATTTACCTGATACTGGTTTATGCATTTGCTTATGTTCTCCAAGTTGATTTCGACCAATTCCCTCTCAATATTAGTTGAACATTTGCTACACCTGTTAGGCATTTGAGGACTTGCTCTGAACTTCGCTGAGCAGTCGGCATTCAAGCACCTGAAAGATAAACAGCGATTAAAACAAGGTTTTGAAGTAAAACAAATTAAAGTTACTCTTTCATTTTCAAAAATAAACATGAAGAGGACGGAAGCCATCTCGTATGACTAGAGGTCGGGTTGCTGGCAAACCAATAAACTAGGGCCTATCGCCCGTTTCCCATATTCAATTCTTGTCCAAATCAGTTTTAGATTAAATATCCACAATATTCGATGCGTTTACCACTTTAAATTGCTTAAATCCTAACAATACGAAATTAAAGTCTAACAATACGAAAATGTAAAAACATCGAAACCTGCAGATATTTTGACCAAAACATATTGAAATTTGACAGTTACGAACGGATTTGGATTAGGATTGAATATTAAAATCCAGCATAAGTTCCCTAGTATATTGGTTTGCCAGCGACCCGAGGTAACCCTTGAGGTATGCCTCAAGTAGACCGGCGTTTCCGAACTGTTCATCTGCTTCAAAGTGGGCCAATCCTCCTTGCAAGCGACGCACTCGCAACGGCAGGCCAGTGCGCTCTGTCTCTCCTTAAAACTCCTCATCATGAAAGTGGAGGCCGTAGTTTTCGGAGGCCATCTCGCCTGTAGCTACAGGTCGGGTTGCGTGCAAACTGAGAAACTAAGAGTCCATACCTTAAGTAGATCGGCGTTTCCGAACTGTTCATCTGCTTCAAAGTGGGCCAATCCTCCTTGCAAGCGACGCACTCGCAACGGCAGGCCAGTGCTCTCTGTCTCTCCTTCAAACTCCTCATCATGAAATGGTGACCGCAGTTTTCGGAGACCATCTCGCCTGTAGCTAGAGGTCGGGTTGTTTGCAAACTGAGAAACTAAGAGTCCATACCTTAAGTAGATCGGCGTTTCCGAACTGTTCATCTGCTTCAAAGTGGGCCAGTCCTCCTTGCACGCGACGCACTCGCATCGGAACCAGTAGCGACAGGCCAGAGCCCTCTGTCTCTCCTTCAAACTCCTCATCATGAAGTGGTGGCCGTAGTTTTCGGAGGCCATTTCGCCTGTAGCTAGAGGTCGGATCGCTTGCAGAACGATCTTTGCACCGTCGAAAAATCTAAAAAAATAATCGAAATTGGTTGAAAATACTTTCTACACGGCAATACGCAATGAAATAATAAAAACATTTATTACCTACTTGTGTGGACTAAATAAATTGAATCTTCAAATTTTGGTATAACTAGCACATTGACAGTTTCAGTATGGGAAATACATACAACGTGTCCCAAAATTCAAGGATAAGCCGGCGCCGCAGGATGGACATAGTCATGACTACTTTAGGAAAAATAAGAAAAAAAATCTATCTCAATTAATTTTTAAGTTACACAATAAATTATGAAATTCGTCGAAAATTGACACCCCTTATGATATTTTACATTACCACGCCCACAATTTTTCAAATGCTTCTGTTTTTTTATTTGTATCGGCAACTTAAGTAGTGCTGCTGTCCACTCCAATTCTTAAAACCCCCAGAATCCTTGCAGTTTTTACACAAAAGTTAATCAAAATATGATATTTCTTTAAAATTTTGAACGATTTTTACTTTCACTCCACTTTGACGCGTCGTTTTGTAAAAAAACAGTATGAACACTACTGCGGCAAGTTTATTATAAAGTTGACGCAACTATCCAAGATTCCAAAATGGTATAATACTCTAAGAAAATTAGTCGCAAAAAAGATATGCGTACCATTTTTACAAGCACTTCGCTTGTTAGTAGTATGGGATAAATCTTGCAACTAATTTTTAAACCAGTTCTCCTCAACCAATTGAGCTGAAATTTGGTATACTTATGTAAGTACGATGACATTGCAATATTATGGTATCATTGAGCTGGATGGAGTCTGGAGGTGGCCATAGATACTTCTAAATGAAACGGCGGAATTGCATCTAGTTTAGGTTCGTTAGATTTGTCTTTTCAAGCACTTTGGTGCTAGATGATGTCCAGGATCCTGATGATGAAGTCAAGAGGTGGCCAGGAGCGGCCATAGGAACTCCTAAACGAAATAGTGGAAGCTTATCGAGTTTGGGTTCGTTGGACTTGCCTTCTCGGGCACTTGGGCCATGAGATTGAGAAACAACTAAAAAGTTTAAAATAAAGTTATAATCGCGCATGGAATTTATTCCTCTTTTTTTCTGTTTGCGCTACAAACTTTCAAAATCATTTGAACCTTGCCTATAATTATTTTTATCGTTAAATTCTTTCGTAAAATTTCGCATTAATGCTTGTTTTTAAAAAAGTTTTTTTTTATTATAACTTTATTTTACACTTTTTAGTTGTTTTTCAATCTCATGGTCCAAGTGCTCGGGAAGTCAAATCCAACGAACCCAAACTCGATAATCTTCCGCCATTTCGATTAGGAGTTCCTTTGGCCAGCTCCTGGCCACCTCTTGACTTCATCATCAGGACCCTGGACATCATCTAGCACTAAAGTGCTCGAAAAGATATCCAACGAACCCAAACTAGATGCGATTCCGCCGTTTCGTTTAGAAGTTCCTATGGCCACCTCCACACTCCATCCAGCTCAATGATACCATAATAGTGCAATGTCTTCGTACTTACATAAGTAGGTACCAAATTTCAGCTCAATTGGTTGAGGAGAACTGGTTTTAAATTTAATTGCAAGATTTATCCCATACTAACTAACAAGCGAAGTGCTTGTAAAAATGGTACGCATATCTTTTTTGCGACTAATTTTCTTAGAGTATTATACCATTTTGGAATCTTGGATAGTTGCGTCAACTTTATAATAAACTTGCCGCAGTAGTGTTCATACTGTTTTTTTACAAAACGACGAGTCAAAGTGGAATGAAAGTAAAAATCGTTCAAAATTTTAAGGAAATATCATATTTTGATTAACTTTTGTGTAAAAACTGCAAGGATTCTGGGGGTTTTAAGAATTGGGGTGGACAGCAGCACTACTTAAGTTGCCGATACAAACAAAAAAACAGAAACATTTGAAAAATTGTAGGCGTGGTAATGTAAAATATCATAAGGGGTGTCAATTTGCGACGAATTTCATAATTTATTGTGTAACTTAAAAAATAATTGAGATAGATTTTTTTTCTTATTTTTCCTAAAGTAGTCATGACTATGTCCATCCTGCGGCGCCGGCTTATCCTTGAATTTTGGGACACGTTGTATAAAATGTCAAAATGTCGAGTTATTGACGATTTATTCTGAGATTAATATTTACTCTTGTTTGGTCGAATCCACACCCTTAGCGCTCCTGCACACGACGCCGCCACCGCGCCGCCGCCATGCCGTCGCCGCGCCCCTAAACTGTTCATACGCGCCGAGTAAAGCCTGCCGCCGTGGCGTGCCGCCGCCGCGCCACCACCGCGCCATCAAAGCATAATTTTGCCAGCAGCGCGGCAGCGGTGCGTATGAACAGTGTAGGGGCGCGGCAACGGCGCGGCAGCGGCGCGGCGGCGGCGTCGTGTGCAGGAGCGCTAAGGGTGTGGATTCGACCAAACAAGAGTCACGACATTTTGACATATGTATTTCCCATACTGAAACCGTCAATGTGCTAGTTATACCAGTAGGCCTAAGATGCGCGCCGTGATACATAGACGGTTATCACGCCATTTTATCGATTTTGCCCATACAAATTGACGTCGATAAAAGTTATCACGGCGCTCATCTTAGGCCTACAGGAGTAGTCTCGGATAAAAGTTTGGTCGAATCGGGCCTAAAAATATTTAAAGGTTACCCTGACACTTTAATGTATAAATGTCACTGTAAAATTGTGAATTCCGTCAGATTATAATCTGACGTAGTTAAATTACAATCTAACCTAACCCACTGTTAGTTTACAATCTAACGCGTTATATTATAAACTGACAGAGTTCACAATTTCACGTTGACATATAGAATACGAAGGTAGCATTATATTAAAATCTGCTTTAAAGTTATTTCTGAACTATAATGCCCGAATGAAATGTGATATTATGTTGACGCTACTTTACCTTTCGACCAACAATAAGGATTATAAATACCTCACGAGACACGAGGCGTGTACTTTAATGGTTTTCTTTGAGGATTTTCCATTATCTGATATGATAATATCCCATTACCTATGGCTAAGAACGTCACTCAACTTCTCTTTCCAACAATACCCACTCGGAATACGTACCTTTTTGGCGATGGCACCTTGGCTATTATTGGACATAAGGCATAATAGAATATTGATATCAAAGGTTATTTGGATGAAAGGATATTGTTTATCTGGGGAGCGACTTGGAGGCATCGTGTCTAGACGAAGTAACTAATACGTGTTATTGTTGTCGAAGTTCTAATAGGCGCTTTTGTTAGCCGACGGGAGCTGTCTGTACTCGTTACTTGCATATTATGTTTATACCTCAGAGGTCGAAAGGAACGTGGGGGTGTATAATACTACGTATCTACCTTAGGATTGACTGCAAAGTATGATTTCAGGCTTTTAAGGGCACCGGGACATTGTAGAAGAATAATACTTATGTGCATTGTGCATATTTTTTAATGTCTTAAATTTAGAATTCAGATATCATTGTCTTCAGTACTATTAGACACTTGAGGTGAGAAACTAACTAAATAAGGGGTATTACGTCACATTCCTTGTTTCTAAGAAAGTCAAATAATATACTACGAAACAGTGGCGGATCCAGTGCTTTTGTGTGCTACATGAGTTTAACATGGTGTTGATTTTTAGATTACTTGTTATTACACCATCAAGCATATGGAAAATAATCATAATACGAAAAACAAAGTTTGATCTGCCATTTACAACAAACTTTTGACGAACGCGTCATTTATGCTAACTACTTTTTCGAGAAATAATAAAAAAATATATATATATAATATTTATTTCTCGAATTAAAAAAATTAAATATAAATATATATATATTCGTATTATGATTATTTTCCATATGCTTGATGGTGTAATAACAAGTAATCTAAAAATCAACACCATGTTAAACTCATGTAGCACACAAAAGCACTGGATCCGCCACTGTTTCGTAGTATATTATTTGACTTTCTTAGAAACAAGGAATGTGACGTAATACCCCTTATTTAGTTTTACACTGGGTCAGGTGACGGTAAACGACAACTGTTAGTTTGGAATTTCCAAATCTCACGTGTTAACACTCCGATGACACTTCACACTACCGCTATCATAGTAAATTCCTAGAAATTCGCTCAGATTCCGCGCAGAGGTTTACGGTTACACAGCCACAAGTATGCCAATCGGGATATGCAAATTCTATACAAAACTGATTTAACATTTCTGAAACGTACCTGGCAACAGCGGGATAGCACTCGTGATTGAATAGAGCTCCAGTCGGGTAAATCCCTACAGCGTTGTACACGGGCTTGGACCCGCTGAATGAATGCTCGCCTCTAATTGTTTCGTAGATCTCGTGCGCGTTGAACTGAAGGATTTGCATGTTGCGGACTATCATCTCGCAAATAGACGTCTCAGCTGGAAGTTTAATGTAGGAACGTGAGACAAAATTCTTTTAAACTCCATTACAAATCTACTAAAAGGTTGTGAACAAAAAAGTTTTAGGGCTCTTTCAAATTAGTTAGACGTTTAGAAGATCACACCCGTGCGTTTGCAAGATTGCACAACAGCTGCTGTAATTAGAATTTTTATTCCAACGCATTTTTTTATTCTGTTTTTTGGGATTTTCTGTGCCATTTTTTTCTGTTTTTCGGGTTCGGTCCTGCAAACAGTCGTTACGTCTGGCTAACGTCTAATTTGAAAGAGCCCGTGTAGAAGAAGCTATGCTCAATTTTATTTAAAAGAAAACGAAGCTCATTTTAGGACACATATTTTCTATTCCTTGCATTATAATTAACATTTATTTTTTAGCCCAAACAATTAATTACTCGCCTAATTACCTTTCGCAAGATTTTCTGGTTCGCATTTTTTAAAGAAACCTGCTTTCTTCAAACATTCCCCGAGAAACATCGCCATGACAATTCTTTTAAGATAATCCCCTCCCCTCCTTTGTTCCGAGTGTGCACATAAAGAATAAAATTGTGCGGCTTTTAACTCTAATTTTTCTTCATAGTTTATCTTTTCGTCGACCTTCGTTTCTGTTTCTTCTTCTTTTGTCTTTTCTGTGAATATTTTTAGGCCTTTCTTGCTTCTATTTAGTCTTTCTTTTCTGCTTTTCATTTTAGACTTTTTCGCTACGCCTTCGATATCGTTTAGGACTGTGCTGTCTACGGTTTTCACTTCGTTGGTCAAATATTTGGAGTGTATCGACAGGGTCGCATCGAGTCCAGCTTGGGTGACAATTCTTAGAGCTATCTGGCTGAGCATTGACATTCCAGATCCTGAAAGCAAAATTAACAACTGATTGTGTATTCTGCAGTGGAGACTACTGACCTAACGAAGATAGTGTATTTTTTATAAATATAGCCGCGGCTTAAGCTACACTTGGGTTAATCAATAATTTAAAAAATAGGCTTTTTACAGGTCCTGTTTTCTGATAACAAAGCAAAATTAACTTCAACATTTTCGAACGGTGAACTTTAGATAAAGACAAAAAATGTTACGTACTCAAAAACAAAAGCGCGTCTGAGCGTCATAGAGGTGAGTACTGCAGACTGCATTTCCACGTTAAATAGCTGAACTTATCCTTTGCGCGAAGAAATACGGTCCAATGGTTTATTCAGATGTTTTATTTCATCCCAGTTCGTTTCTCAGCTAAGAGCGAATTTAAAAAAAGCAAACAGCTGTACCTTTGATAATTATTTTGTCATTAAATGCACCCTTATTTCATTACTAAACTTCATTGTTCAGGTGATTTTACAAAATACATTTTCTTATCATCATCATCTCAGCTATAGGACGTCCACTGCTGTACGTACATAGGCCTCCCCCATGCTTTCCATGTTGCCTGGTTGGTAGAGGCCTGCGTCCAGCGCCTTCCTGCTACCTTTCCATTCTTAAATTTCCTTATCGAATGTCGAAATAGGAAAGAAAAATGTTTGTTACTAATAAAAATAATATTGTGAAGACACGGTTACAGTTTTATTATTTTCATATCATAAATAGTAGTGTGTAGAAAATCAGATAAAAATATTATAATGGGAAAACTTTACCTATAAAAAGATCAAGAAACTGGCACTCATAAGAGTGGTACGTGGACACGGCAGTGTCTCTACAGTTGGTACTGCAGAACACGACTGCAGAACATTTGGGGCACCACACTGGGGCTTCGTCCTCGCAGTCTTCTAACCTGGAAATTCAAATATCAGTATTGATTAAAAAAAATGTAAGAATAACTAGTGAAGTCAATATAAAGCCTGTAAAAAGAAGTGTGGAGGTAAGTTTATGTAAAATAAAGTCCTGTTTTTGCTTTGCTAAAAAAGTGTTTTATGATTTTACATTAGTTACTGTGATTTTGGTACAATATTTGGAGATGTTTTGTGATGAAGAAAACTGCTTAGTATACGCTCTTGTCTTCAGAACATTTTTTGTATTATGGAGATCGTGCTAACATTATAGTTAGTGCGACACAAATAATGTACACTATAATTCAATGTTGTTTTCGCGCTATCTGCAAAACCTAATCCTGAATGTTATTGATCATTGACATCATTCCTCGTTAGTCGGCCTGGCCATCTTCGCAGACATCTACTGACTGCTGACCTATTAACGTCTATATCAACAGGTGCTATTGTTACGCGTCCATGCATACGCATGGTGTTAAGCGATGGGCGTAAACAGGGCATCTAGCAGTCATGTGGAAAAATATTCGAATGACTAGTTGAATTCAATAACCAATTTTATTGGTTGTAAAATTAGATTTAGCAAGCTTTGAAATTTTCGACCAATTGAGTACGCGACTCGACCTGATGACCCCATTCCATACAAAAAAATGTGTCTCGCGTTTTCACAGCTCATTGGTGTCCATTTTCCAACAATCAAACGTTAACACGATCACGTAACTGCGGTTTGTTGCTGTTTGTTTAAGTTTAAACGCGGAGTTTTAAATATAGCTCTCGTGGTTTAGAGCAGCGCTGACCACGTCAAAGTGCGCGTGAACGTGTATCTAAATGCAGCATTTGTTAGTTTGTTTGGTTTGTTACATCAACAGGTTTTTCGAGCGCTTTTGCGTGAATGGAAAACGCTCACTGAAACCAGCTTCGCGCCTTTTGTGAACATAGTAAGGTGTATTTTGGGAGCCGATTTAAAAAACTGCAACTTGTGTAATTTTATTATAAAATGACTTTTATATTATTTTTCTTTAAGAAAAACTCATAACCATAAAAAAACCGTAACAAACTACTCAACTGAACCGCTTACTAAGAAATATAGATTTCTCAGCTCGAGTATGTACCTGCATTAGCCCGGAGTAGGTACTTCCAGAAAGTGTATGTGCAATTCAATTTGCGACTAAAACGTGTTTGCTGGAAACTTATGCTTGCCTATTAGATGCTATTAGCTAGACCTGTTGCCGACATTTCTACGAACCTTTTAAAGCAGTGCAAGCAATGTGTCCCGTAGTTGTCGGGGTGCAGGCACGCGGCGTAAGGGCTGTCAACCAGGAGTACGTCCCCGGTCTTGATGGGGGCGCTGGCCACTGCGTAGCGGCCCTGGCAAAGAGATGACAGTTTAAGGATTTGCCACACTGGCTGTGTTCTGCGGTCAGGTCAAAGTTTACGAACAACATTGTCGGTCTTTATATATTTTGTCATTTTGGGATCTGTGTGCTTACCATGAGTTTACGTTAGGTGTCCTCGCTAGCGAGTACGTAAAAAATAATGTTAAATGTATGACAGATTGTACAGCGCATCTAGCGGCTACTTTCAAGAACTAAAATCTTCATAGATTTTTTTGACGTACCTAGGTACTCGCTATCGAGCACATTTATAGCCTGACCAGGAACATAAAAACCCTCGCCATGTTGCGGAAAACTAATGGTACTAATTTCTTTTAATGGCAACAGTAACTGAAAACTTCATTGACATGTCACCTTGCATGTCAGTCTATTGCTGTCAAAGTGTAAACAAACTTTATTTTAAATGTGCGCAATTGATTTTGTGAATTAAATTGCTAAAATCTTTTTATAGTCGTGAAAGAAAAGTGGTTCACCTGTTGCTTGCTGCGTGATTGGTGGATTTTGACATATCTGTCAATGTCATGTCAAAAATAACCAATCATGCAGCATTTGGACCTCGCGTCTACGTATTGCCATCTGGCGGATTTTTCAATCGCGAAAACCCTCATTGAAAGAAGTTTTTTATTTTCTTAAAAATAAACAATGGAACAATACGTAAGCATAATTGCATAAAAAAGTAAAATAATTTCGTTTAAATAAAACCGACTAAAAATTAAACTGACTCCGAAAAAGTAAACACTAAAAGTAGAAAAATAAATTTACGTTATCTCCAATATTGTCGAAGTTATCGCTGGAAAACTAAGCAAAGTATCGTATATTTTTTATTTAAAATTAATCAGTAATCGGAATAAGTGAATACTTAAAATAATATCGATTAAATTTACAGATTATTGTCTATGACTCACAGGTTACGGCACTGATGTGTCAGAGACAAGTCATAGACAATATGGAGATAACACATTCATGATTTTAAACGTCAAGTCAATTTGACAATGTCACAAATTTTCATCGTCCACGTATTTTGCTAAAATAATTTGTTTCAAAGATTGATTTCAAACTTGTATAAACGTGAAAATAAAGTTGGTTTCATGGGCTTGTTAAATAGTGTGTATGATATTATGAACACGTAAGTGATTATGGTGTAATTGTGTATGAAAGTGTTTGTTTACATCTCTGCTGGATTCTAAAAAATCAAGGTATATAGTAATATTTTTTCGTTAATTTATGAAAATATCAAATTAGCCCGTAATCCTGAATCCTGATACATAAAGTTGGCTTATTAATTTAACACAGGTACGACTGTACTCAGTGTTGCACTATCAAATGCAATTGACGCGCCTCTATGCCAGGGTTTTTATGTTCCTGGTCAGGCTATATAACGTAAACTTATGCGGTAAGCACAACCGGCACCGAGGCTTACCGAGCAAAGAACGAACGCAAGTTTCACACCGCTGACAAATTGTCTTTTCCCGGATCGCTGACTGATTGTCCTGAGTCGGCTAACGATGATGTTCATACATGACGCGGGCTGCGTTCATTTTGACCTGACTGCAGAACGCATTTAGTGTGGCAAATCTATATATATAAAAATCAAAATCAAAATCAAAATCAAAAATATTTATTCAGTTTAGACCACAAGTGGCACTTATGAACGTCAATAGAAAATAATAAAAAAAGAAAAAGGTAGCCCTTATGGGGCACTTTACATGTCTCCTTATCTTTTGGGCCCTACCAGCGCTTCGAGACAAACATATGGCAAGTGCTGAGAAGAAACGCCGGAACAAACTCAGTCACCACTTATTGCCAGGAATTATCTAACGGTAAGAATAGTCAAATTTAAGTACATCAAATATGTGCAGACTGAACTGACCACGCATCCTTGTCATCAATATAGTCTCGAACCTTGTAGTACCCTTTGGACATAAGGGTATTTTTTATATGTATCTTAAATTTGTTTATTGGCAATTCGACAAGGTTGTGTGGTATTTTGTTAAATATGGTAATACATTTCCCCAAGAATGAATTACCTATCTTATGCAACCTAAATGATGGAACAGCAAGTTTATTCTTATGTCTCGTGTTAAATGAGTGGACGTCACTTTTCTTAGTAAATAAATGTATATGTTTACGGACATACATAATGTTATCAAATATGTATTGCGAAGCCACAGTCAATATATTGATTTCTTTAAAAACTTCTCTAAGAAAAAGGTAGCCCTTATGGGGCACTTTACATGTCTCCTTATCTTTTGGGCCCTACCAGCGCTTCGAGACAAACATATGGCAAGTGCTGAGAAGAAACGCCGGAACAAACTCAGTCACCACTTATTGCCAGGAATTATCTAACGGTAAGAATAGTCAAATTTAAGTACATCAAATATGTGCAGACTGAACTGACCACGCATCCTTGTCATCAATATAGTCTCGAACCTTGTAGTACCCTTTGGACATAAGGGTATTTTTTATATGTATCTTAAATTTGTTTATTGGCAATTCGACAAGGTTGTGTGGTATTTTGTTAAATATGGTAATACATTTCCCCAAGAATGAATTACCTATCTTATGCAACCTAAATGATGGAACAGCAAGTTTATTCTTATGTCTCGTGTTAAATGAGTGGACGTCACTTTTCTTAGTAAATAAATGTATATGTTTACGGACATACATAATGTTATCAAATATGTATTGCGAAGCCACAGTCAATATATTGATTTCTTTAAAAACTTCTCTAAGTGAGTCACGTGGTTTAAGACCGTATATTGCCCGAACAGCTCTTTTCTGTAAAATGAAAATTGATTCTATGTCTGCTGCTGAGTGGTGAAAAGAAAGTCGTGTTAGTTACTTCGCTTATAACTCAAGAACGGCTAAACCGATTAAGCTGAAAATTGTCAGGGAGGTAGTTTAGAGCCAGGAGAAGGACATAGGATACTTTTTATCCCGTTCGAAATAAAAAAAAGTCTGCTTATTTATTGCCATTAAGGCGGAACAAAGTTCGCCGGGTCAGCTAGTCTTTTAATAAAATGTTAGCCTAGGCGCAGACCACCGATATTTTATGTCGGCCGATAGTTTAGTCGGGCAGTTAATCAGTACGGGCAATGGGCATCTATGGGAGTACGCACATTGGATCGGCCAATTCTTCATTTAAATTAAAATCGGGCCCAACTATCGGCCAACTAAAAATCGGTGGTCTGCGCTGCGGCTAGGCTACTATGTTAAGGGCTGTCGCCCAGAAGTAGTCCCTGGTCTTGAGGGGAGCGCCTGTAGCCACGCGTAGCGGCCCTAGCAAATAAAAGATGTCACTTTAATAAAATGTTCGTCTATGTTTACGACATTACGGGTATCGTCGTTCTAAAATCTTTAAGAGCTAGAAAAAAGCAACATGATTTGTTAAATTAAAAATGTTTGAGATATAATATACGTCATAAAAGTGTTACTTAGTTTTATACAATATTGGGATTTAATTATCAAATTTAACTATTTGGACAGTAAGACAAATATCAATAATGTAAAGCAAAACTTACAAAGTTACACGGTTAAGCGAAAATAAATAAAAAGATCTACTATAAAATAAGTGTATCTATTTTATAACCGTTTCTGTACCGAGCTCGGAACCCACAGGGATAGATTCGGTGGTCCCAAATCGTTATTATGATACACAACCAAACAAACGATAACATCTTAGTAGGTATTTGTCTCTCATGGGAGAATTTCACGGGCGAGCACACATTTCTGCTTTGGTAAACACTGAACATCAGAAACTGTAGTTTGTATGCCAAAGTTTTAAACGTTTGCCTCACTTGGAAATGCCTGTTAATTAACATTAAAATACCTGTTGATAATTTTTCAACATTTGTCCCTTTGCCGTCTTTGTAAGAGTAAGTAGGTATTTCCTATAAACTTCCCATAATGGTATAATATTGTTTTCGTAGTCAACGGAATAAAGGACATAACATAAAACCATGCTCCAGCACTACACAAATTAATGATAGGCATAATTTTTAACGTGTTTCAAACTGTACCTCTAGTAGGAAAAACTTTCGAGTTCGTTTCGTTGCGTATTCAAAGTGTCATCGAAAAATTTTGTATGAAAAATTAAACAGCGCCCCCTAGGGCGGCTATAATATAGGGGGCGCTGTTTAATTTTTCCTACTAGAGGTACTGACTGTCGTACTTTTCTTTCCGTTTTTATTTATCAGCATCGCAGCGGCTCGAAATAATAATAAAAAACTGAAACTGACTACACCGTGAAAGCCTCGCAATCGCAGTGCTACGAGGTAGGCGCATGCGACATAGTACAGTAACTTTCAGTAATTTATTTATTCAAAAAAGGGAAATACAAAGAATATTTTATATCTACGTACTATATCGGCAACAGTGTTAACTGCCAATTGTCGGTTATGTCATTTCGTTCTATCACAAAGAATCACCATGTGATGAGAGCGAGAGCAAAAACGGAAATGGATAGTTAACACTGTGGCCGTGTGTACCTACTTGCACTCACGATAAATGTTTGGACACGAAATGAAAATATTAGATTCTTTCGGCTCTATATACCTACATAACTGTCATCGATGACGGATGACTCATCATCATCATAATGATATAATTAAAATTTAATCCCCAGTATTACGATCCTCTCTAATTTTACGAGTACGATTGCGCCAAAGCCGGAGCAATCTCAATTTCTCTAGCTTTAGCTGTCTTTCTGTGTATTTGTTTTTACTATGGCTGTGGTATTGCAATAGGTTACAATAGTGCATTGTGGGTATACGTCAATGAGCCGCTCCAGGCCTCCCATGGGGAATTTACGCCAGGCCAAGCACGTATTTGTACTGCTACTCAATACCATATTTCTTTTTGTAAACTGTAATAACTTTGATTGTGCTTAAAGACAACATAACAAATTGCGATTGGGAAATCAATTTCCTATAATGTTTCTTCCGCAAGAGAGACTAACAGATTTTTTGTCGATGGTTGTATTTGGCTGTAAATTCAGTATCAACAAGTATTAAAGTATGCACATTACCTAAACCGATCATTATAAAAATCCGACCAAACTATCGGATAATTAAAAAGTCTGTAATCTGCAGAGATTTAAAAAAATAGTTATTATTTTTAATGCCTGCTTGCCTGACATATTTATACGAGTAGAAATATACTTCTGACGGTAACCACAAAATTAATTTAAATGCTCGTACTATACGTTTCGTATTCGATTATCCATTTTAGGCGAGCGTTTAGGTTTAACGCAGGAAACCCTTTGGTCACAGTTTGTTTGGTGTCTGTCTGCCGCCCGCCCCTGTCGCATTTTGGGCGTATTAGCATTTAGCTCTGTTGGTCTTCACGCCACAGCAAGCAGGTACCGTGATTGATATTAAAACGTTACGTGAGTGTTTACAGTGTACTGTCGGGCACTAGATAAAATATACTGGGGAAATATTTGACGGGCTCGCAACAGTGTTTTTGAATGTAAGTCGTGCATAGTAAAATTCCCTGAGGTGTGAAGATGCTTAATACGTTGTCTATTTAGGAAAATATCAGGGCTTATTTCGGACAATAACTAGGAATCTGGGGATTGCAGGTTTTAATTTTTATTCGCAGAAGCTGTCACAGCTTGACACTTCGTCTAGACCCAGTCTGTCCCATATAAATATACAAATACAGAGCTTACGGCTGAAAAAAAATCTATGCATATGAAGTTGCAGGCACTGTAGTTATAGTATCTGTTATGAGGAATTTCTAATCTAGCCCCAAGTAAAGGCAACTGTTAATCTAGTACGTTCGTTCGTTTCAGTCAAAATGACGTCCACTGCTGGACAAAGGCCTCCCCCAAGGTTTTCCATAATGCACGGTCCTGCGCTGCCCGCATCCAGGCTCTTCCCGCGACCTTTACTACTGTAATCTAGTACATAATAATTTATGTAAACATCATTAACTTCAGATTATTTCGTCGTGCTTATAATCCTAAGTCCGGTCATTATTAAACTACGTTTAGCATCACTAAGATAAAACAACAAGCAAACAGAACTAGTCAAAACATTAGCAAAACACTAACTGAAACAACTTAATTAGTTAATTCAACTGAAAGAGCTCAGTACAAAAATAGTACCGCCCTCAGAGAACAGAGTTTATGTTGTTTAGAAGGCTCTAAAAGGACAAATGGAATAAGTACAACAAACATTTCCAACTAACTACGATCATATTTCATACACAAAGGGCAGTTGAGATCACAACCGTACTATCCTCGGGGCGGATATAGTAAAGATATGAACGGTAAGATTGCCCTTAATAAATCTACAAGACTACCTTGCGCCCGGCCGCAAGAGACCGTCCGAAATATTCTAATTTTCATTCAAAATAACCGAGAAAAAACCTGAAAAGTGGAGGGCTACATGTATCAAGTTAAGCTTAAAAGGTAATGATGAACTCTGATACATAATTCAGCTAACTCAATCCAGCGTACAAGAACGTGTATATCCACATAGCTACGTAGAGTGGTGTGCGGATGTGCAGTGTCATTTAAATGATACCACGGTCCGCTCACCCGTTGACCCATGTTTCCACATATCTCATACAAAATTAAACGTTCTATGTAATTGATTATAGAATAATCCGAATTGGTGAAAGTGACGTATAAGTTAATTTTACCTTCAGGATAGGTAGCGATTTTGGCAAAAACTCACAACTACGCCAGAAGGCGGGTTATTCAAAATCTATTCGCAATATTTTTGTGTTGAATTCGACCAAAGGCGTTAACTTGAAAAATGTAATTGAAAGTATTCATAAATGAGCTGTGTGACCCTCCTGTTAGTTTTTTATTTTGTGGTATAGTTTTACCTTATTTTGTTCTTCTGTTATCTTCAGGAGTTTAGACAGGGCAGGCATATTTTGCTTCGCTCCGCCGGCTACGGAGATTTCTGTAAACAAAATGGCATTTTATGCGGGATGTCTAGTAAATAGGGGTGTGTGACATACTCTAGGTTTCGCGATAGGAAGAAAATATGACATTGGGTTTATCTTATACGATTTGAGGATACGAGCCGCACGCTTACAGGATATCATAAGAAAAAGTTTCAAAAGGAAAATTGTTTGTAAAAAGCTATCTACGAGAATGTCTGTGAAAAGCTTTATATCGCTTGCCAGGTGCCAAAGGCAAGTTTTTTTCCCCAGAAATAATTATTACACAGTTTTTGGGAAATTCGCTCGCACGTGGTTCGGCCGTTACTAAGTAATTGGCAACCCTATGCGAAGCAAAATATTTCTCGCCGAAATTATTTTGGCTAGTTTCATGACTACCAATCGTCGGGTTGTTTGAATTTTATTTTCAGATAGATTACATATCTTTTCTTTTATGTCATGATTCCTGCGAATAGCATCTTTGCTATTCGCAGGAATCGAATTGAAGTGAGCATAGATCAGGGGTCTGTTAAAGGTAGGGAACCACTGCCTTAGAAGTAAATAGTCACTTATCATTAGGTGCAAGTCAAATAATAAATATATAAATATCCTTGGACATTTTTCACTACTCTTCTAGTCCCAAACTAAGCGAAGCTTGTACTATGGGTACTAGACAACGGATAACGGATAGTTATATTTACTTGGCTTATCTGGCGGGTGACGTGGCTGAGCCGTGTAGTCCAGTGCTCCTATGTCCTTAGCCAATTGTGCTTTGGCTGTCTCGTCATTTGCTAGAAGTCTTCCTGCCAGCTCATAGGACACTTTAGCTCTGCTCGGTTCTCCTGCACCTGTTGAAATATTCTATGTTGAATGCACTGTCTCAACTACATTTAGGTGCCTACTGTTTCAATTAATCATTAATCTAATAATCTAAAATAATGAATCAATAGAAAATCTTTTACAATAACTAAAAGTGGTTTTTACGATGTGTGAGCCTTCCTCTTAAGTTTAAACACCTTTATAGAAACCCTATATTTGCTTTGCTATAAAATAAATAAAAACTAAATTAATTTTGCAGGCTGATGTTTGCCTACTCACTAGTGTTCATTTTTAGATGCTAGTGTTTTTTCGTAGCCTTACATGCTCGCTATAAGCTTATAGCGATATCACCATATTTCCTTAAACCACGGTAGGTTGCTCGCGCATTTTATACTACGGTTTTATAGCTTATTACGGGGTTAGTGCTCGTACGAGACGTGCGTTTGCCACAAAGATACATTTACAAAAAATGAAACCTGAAATACAGGCCTGTTATGGACAGACGCCTTCATCATATCTACGTGAATGGGGTGAAATTGTATAAAAACAAAAGTGAAGGTACAGCGAAGTGTATTCCTGAAAAGTATAAGCTAAACTATGACAAATTTTTCAAGCATCTACAGCTAACATTTAACACGATACGGTCAATACAGCAATACAAATTGTAGTAGTGTTATTTAGCAAGTATCTGCTTGAAGTTCACAGTTGGTGGTTACGATGTTTAAATTAGTCCAAAACGTACCGCAGAATTCCAATACTACCATCTCATAAACCGCTCTAGTCAACTCTATAGGTAAGTACCTATAGATATTCCGCAAACTAATAGAGCAATAGCCTCAGGCAGGATCTGAGATCTAGATCAATTTAAAGCACCATTGGAGCAACTAAATCTACTTGAAACTTGAGATATTAGAAACTAGGATTTCCTGGGATCCGGATGGATATTAAATACAATAGTCGTATCTTAGAAATTGGCTCTGGATTAATATTATTATTAAGAAGCTAAACACAACACAAAAGTACTGTGCTAATTTCCATTTGATAACAAATGAAGGTCACATTAGTGTGCCCTATAATACGAGTAGGTAAATATGCTCTCCAAATTTATACAGGGTGTTTCTTGTAAGGTGTCAAGCTGAAGGCAGATGATAGGTGAGGACTAGACCTATCGATTTCACCCCTATGTTTTTTTTTAAAAAGATTATTAGCAATTTGTATTGCACAAATTACTATTACCTAGTCCTGTTGGCCCCTCGTGGTAAGCTAAATAATCTTGTGTTACGAGTGGGCTCACCACAATAGTCGAGCGGTGGTGGGATTCGAACCCGCGTTCCTCGGATCTCGAGTCGGCCACTCCGACCCATTCACCGTTCGGCTATCGTGGCTATGTATGTTCTACGATTTTTCGTAGTTTAGAAGTTATCGTTAATTTTGTGATTTTTTCAAATTTTATGACCTTTTTTTTTAATCTTTTTTTTTGGGTTGACTTTTCTCAGATTCCTTTTTTTACTAGGTCATAAAAGTTGAAAAAATCACAAAATTAACGATAACTTCTAAACTACGAAAAATTGTAGTGAAATCGATAGGTCTCGTTCTCACCTATCACGACTCCTTACAAGAAACACCCTACTATTAAAGCCAGGATAGCCGAACGGTGAAGAGGTCGAACTAGCCGACTCGATATCAGAGGAATGCGGGTTCGAATCCCGCCGCCACTCGACTATTAATGTGGTGAGCCCACTAAGACACAAGCATATTTAGCTTAGTACGAGAAGTTAACGGGACAGTAAGTATTACACAAACTACTAATATTCTTTAAAAATATCTAATCACCTCGATAGCAATGCCCCATGCGCCAATAATATTGAGCGCGCATCTTAGCAGGCAGTCGTTCCTTCAGAGCCAGCTTTAGGTCCTCCAACGCTGCTCGTGGCCGGTCTGCCTGAAGTAATACCTCGGATCGCAGCCAAAGTGCTAGCGCCAATGATACTCCTCCATCAATGACTTCTTCGGTGCCTGGAGAATAAAGCAGGTTCATTAAAAATGAGGTTTTGGTTCGTCATCATCATCATTTCAGTCACAGGATTTCCAGATTTTCCAAGTTCCGAAATTACGAAAGCTACATACATTAAAATTCATATGTATCTAAATAATACGCTGAAACTTTGCCAACAAATTAACATTGAGAATCTCAGGAAAAATTGTTAAAAATCGCAAAAACAGTTCATGCAACTTTTATTAAACCAGCGGAAGTAGACTTTGAAAAATAGAAATGAATATCGGAGCCTCGGGCATAAACGCTACAGGATATACGAGCATTAATAAAAATCAATTTCGAAGTTAAACAAATAACCCTCTACCTACTCTTATTCAAAACAAAAATTGCATAAAAATCATTTAGTAAAAAGCGCATGTTTACAAAAATAGCGAACGTTCACAAATAGTCAGCCATTGTAAATGTATGTACTCGTACAGTCGACAGCATCAGATACAATTCTGATGTAAAATAGCACTTATTGCAACTGTACAAGATACAAGCTTGATGTGCCATCTATACATGGTGTAGTCTGATGTTTGTTTTTACGTTTGCCGCTATTTGTTTAGACCTCTACCGAGTTTACTAATAAAATTGCAACTAGGGATGTTACGATAGTGGTTCTATCGTAACCGAATTTAGAAGCTGAATCGAAAGCGAATAGGAGGCGGAGGCAGAAGAAATGTGTTAAACTTGGGTCTAAGAACATAAAATTACACACATTATTTCATCAGTTATATTTTTATTAATTCAAAAAAATTCAGGTAGGTTTAGACCTGGGTAAGTGTGTCTGAGTCTCTATACGCTGATCGCTGGCCGCCGCGCACTGTCATGCATAGCCTTCCTATACAGGGTGACTTTGTAATCAGTATCCAAATTATTTTAATAACAATTTAACAATACAACTTTATATTCATTATTTTTAATCGGTGGTGGTTATTTTACGCAAAAAAAAATTGAAAGTCTAATTCGCAGATGCTTTTATCTTATAATTTAAGGGTTACTGCGTATTTTCGCTCACCATTATGTCTATTTAAGCTTTGCAGTTAACTGTGTATACGTATTTTTCTATGAACGAAGCAAATTATCTACGTGAGCCAATTTTGGAACCGAGCGCAGCGGGTAATAATAATTAAATACACAAAAAAAAATCTTTCCGTGAATCAATTAAGTTACTGATTCTGAGTCGCTCCTAAAAATTTGGATACTCATACATAAATCACCTTGTATGAATTAATCGGAGTTTCGAACTTTCGGAATCGGCGAACCTCCGTAACATCTCTAGAACCGTGTTATTTAAGCGACTGAACTAGCCTCCAGCGGTCCAGCATATTGTCAGAGTAAATACAAATGAGTAGGTCATCTTCATAGAAACGCACCGAGCGCGGTTTGTATGTGAGCGCGCCAATATACGTATGCGCCGGGCACGCACACACTGACAAAATTCGGCGCACCTCACCGCTAATCACCGCAAAATTTTGTCAGTGTGTGCGTGCGCGCCGCATACGTGTTGGCGCGCTCACATACAAACCGCGCCCGTGCGTTCCTATGAAGATGACCTACTCATTTGTATTTACTCTGATATTGTGTACTTTGATTAAGCTTTGTGTCGGAGTGTTCGACGAGTATTATCTAGTGATAGATGCTGTTAGTGTGGTGTTAGTGGTTGGGAACATAAATAGTCTGGACACGTGTATTGTTCTATGTAGTTCGACAAGGAACGTTGTTCATTTGCAGCATTTCAATTGATACTGTTATAATAGTAGACTATCGTAGCTTGCTATTTCCTATTTCTACTTACCTACTATGAACAACGAAAGTCTAATAAGGGCTTGCTCCCACGGAGACATCCCGTTTTTTGCAGGAACTGTTTTTGCAGGATCCCATTTAGTAGTTGCAGTGACCCGCAAAAAACCGATCCGTTCGAATTTGTAATTCGAATTTCAAACACACAGAGCTATGTGTCTTCACATGACAGTTCAGGATTTCCGTATGAACGATTCCTCAGTGTGATTCTTAGGCTGGGTTGCACCATCTTACTTTAACTTTGACTAACGTCAAAAATCTGTCAAACTCCATACAAAATGCACCGGTTATCGTCATAGTTACCGTTAAATTTAGGTAGTGCAACTCAGCCTTAAAATATTGTTTGAAAATGTATCAATATGTTACTCAATATTCACTCATTTATTGCACCCATCATAAATTACGGTCTTTTTAGGACCAGTAGTATCAAAAACTATTGTTTTGACAGTATGAATGTTATGTAGGTATGAACCAATGAATAGATTTTATTTTAATACGTTAGCGCGCTTAAAATACGATGGTACGAGTAGTAAATGATTGATGTTTCAATTTAGGAAACCAAAAAAAAAATGTCGCTGACGAAGCTGATAAAAGGCTATCACAAAACAATTTTTAGGTGCTCAAGACACTAAATCCATTTCGCCAGCATGTCGACAGTTTCTTATCATCAAAACACTATCAATGCAAAGTATAATTAATTATCACCACCTCCAATCTAAGCCACACTTTTGTAGGTAATATGGGTTGGTTTGGTAATCATCACGAAGATAGCGTTATTCAATTAACTATTTAGGTATTCGAAAAAGTACCTCATACATTTTTGATTTTACACCGCTGCCCGCGATAGTTGACAAGGCGCATTTAACATTTTTGTCGGATATGAGTTAAAGTCAAGGACAGCCAAGAATTACCCATTTACTTGACTTAAGGTCCTATGTCATGTCCCCTAGATGGGGCAGAGGGCGTCCACAACAGTCCTCCATCGCGTTCGGTCTTGAGCTTCGCGCTTGATCTTGCTCCAGGTCTTGCCGATTTTCTTCGCCTTTGCTGCTACAGTGCGCCGCCAAGTTTGCTTGGGGCGACCACGTTTGCGTTTTCCTTGGGGGTTCCAATCCAGAGGCTGCTTAGGGATGTGATCGGGGTCCCTTCGGAATACCCATTTAATTAGATGGTATTTCATTTGGTATTAGATGCGCCCTTTTAAATATCGAGGGCAGAACGGTCTCCCTGAAAAACTGCAGTGTTAATGCACCTTTAGTTAACCGATAAATTGCATCGTGTCGTCGCCACTCAATTAGGATGCGCTCGCTCCGGGCTTAGCCATGCTGGAATTTCAGACTAATCTTTTTACCTAACCCAGTTTACAAAAACATTATCCTCCTTTTTCCGACGGCAAAAAGGCTTTTAGTTTTAATAGTGTTCTGTGCACAGCAACATGGCTATCTTATGATGTTAACAAATGATTTTAAAATATAAAAATATTTTTAAAAAGCAATTTTCGTTCGACTAGTTTTTTACTACTCCCAGATACATTTTACGGTCGCAACTCTGTTTAAAATTATACATTTTATAATATTTATTATTAATATTGTGATTATAAAATTTACAACTTGATCGTTACGGAATTTTCCGTAATCCTCCACCCTAGAGACCTAAGATCTTACTATTGCAAAAGGAATAGACAATCCTATCTATTCCTTTTGAAATTAAAAATAAATCATAGCATTAATATTTACAAAATAAAAAAGATTTTGGTGCTTAATTTAATTAAATAGTCTCATATAGAATTACGAGTATAAATGCGTTTGGACTATCGTTAAAATATTAGCATTAGACTAATAATAAATAATAATTAAGCCGGTTAAAACCGAAGACCATAGGGACTTCGAGTAAAAATAAAGAAAACATAAACAAAATAATAATATATTAACACGCTTGTGGCCCCAGACTACGAGTCCACGTTATACCAAGCAATACGCCGTATTTTTTAAGATAAATTTTTACGCTAGAAAAAGTAAGTTTCAAATATAATAATTGGCACGTCTACGACGTAACACCCTTCGTGGGTGAAATCGCGGGCAAAGGGTTAATTGAAAGGTGCAGACGACAGCATCTCACGGTAAACACTGTGGAATTATAAGTCGTTGTAATAGGGATTACTTTGCATTAAAAGTGAATGGTCTGATGTGCTGACGACTGTACAAAGATACCTAGATAGATTTTATTAAAACTTTCACGCTTCGTTTTAAGTTATTTAATAATAATAATTACCAAGTTCATATTTATAAAATAGTTACCATAATTGACCTTTAAATAAACGAAGCATGCACGAAATGAAATAATTAAGGAGCAATTGAAATTTTAATGAAATTCATAATACTCTAGAGTGTATATCATAGTTGCGACAAACAAAGGTGCTACAAATGTAGTGGCGACAGTACGTTATGCCGACAATCAATGGTGCGACTGCATGTTAGCTCGACGAACGTTAGCGCGACAGAACGATGGGGCGACAAACGAAAGCACGACAGGACTTTGGAGCGACAAACCCTAGCGCGACATTACTTAGGCTCGACAAACGATTGCACGACAGAACTTCCGATCGACAAACTACACTGTGACACAACTTTTTACCTACACAACGACATAAAGCATGACAAACATAGTAACAAGTTATTTTAAAAAATATGTATGTGGATGTATTAATAATAATTTATTCTTTAGGTTTATTTTTTAATTACATGTTTACTTTAAAGTATACGTTCATACGATAACAAAAATTTAATTGTATAAAAATGTGAAAGTAAACATGAAAGTAAAAAAAAACCTAATTATGCATTATCAAATATTTTTTCGTATAACATTAATGTGATTTAAAAAAATATTAAAAATACAGAGAGTACATTTTTGTTAACGTTTATTATTTCTATTTTCAACCGACTTCAAAAAAAGGAGGAGGTTCTCAATTCGACCCGTATGTTTTATAATTTATTTTATTCTATTTTTGTGTATAATTAAAGTAAACATGATAGTTTAAAGTTAAGTGATACATACATACTTATGGCACATTAAGTTGAAAATGTAAGATTAAAAATAAACCTAATATATCCACAATCCACATACATATTTTTAAAATAACTTGTTACTATGTTGGTCATGCTTTAGGTCGTTGAGT